CAATGAAGATATCTCAACATTAAATCCTACTGATACAAACTCAAATGGCTCCCAAACCGCAAATAACACGTCTACTGTAACAGATAGGCCAGGTCACAGGGCAATGGTTGAATCGCTTGTTGTAAGTACATCATTAACAAACCCACTATATGACAAAGGTGCTGCTGCCTTGCAGCACACACATGGCAATCTGAATATGTCTCCAACTGACCAAACATCCTATGTTTTCACAAATACAGCTACTGTTACAGCTAGCAAAGATCAGACAACATTGGATGAGTCTAAGGTCATCACTAAACACTTGGTGAATCCACAGTATGAATTAACAGTTGCTGGCTCGCAGAACACATATGAAAATGTAGACAAGTCTCTAACTGACCATACAGTCCCAAACCCTAGAGTATTGGCATCCATGAACAACACCGCTAGCCTTGATCACGCAGCAGTAGCTTTGTCCAAGGTCATAAGCAGATCATTAGTCAGTACTGCACAGAATGACTCAGAATCAGCTGAATACTTACCACAGCATACATATAACAATGAGGATATGTCAGCAACAAATCCTATAGACCTAGCATCTAACAGGGGGACAGCAACAAACAGGACAGCCGAAGTAACAGCTGATCATGTTGAGACAGCATCAGGTACTGCACAGATTGACTCAGAATCAGCTGAATACTTACCACAGCATACATATAACAATGAGGAAATGCCAGCAACAAACCCTATAGACCTAGCATCTAACAGGGGCACAGCAACAAACAGGACAGCTGATGTAACAGGTAGTCATGATGAGACAGCATCAGGTTGCTATCAGTCTGAGAGTAAATCGTCTAAAAACCCACATTATGGTTCAAGTACAGCTGTTTCTAGTCAGTGCCATTATCTGTATGGAGGTGAGAATAAAGAAATATCATGGCAAAACACCTAAATAATCTTGAAAAAAAAAGAAATGCAACGTTATCATACGTATGGTCTAGAACTCTATGACTCTTGTAAGTGATGGGGTAATTTAACCAGGCCGGCTATGCTGTCTATATACAATAAAAAATAGCACACAAACGCTCCCAAAGACCCTTAAGACCGCCAGTTTTTGGCATGCTATGGAGGCTATGTATTACATATATATATATATATATATATATATATATACTGGATAATAATAAAGTGTCCTTCTTGTGGTATGTACTAAAAGGCCTCTTTAGACAGACGGTGAACGAATGTAGCACACTTTTTCTTGCATACATTGTTTATAATGTCAATGAAAACAAAAAGACTCCAGCTTTCCAGAACTAATATGAAATATTATGTCTGAAACGCTGCTTTGATGACTGTAAAAATATTTAGCAACGATCCACAAAGAATTAATCTATTTACTAGCAGCAGATTGTAAGCTATAATAGATTTGATATTTTAACTAATACTGTGGTGTTCATTCTTTACTACCTTATGAAATATTATCATATAGCCAGAAGAAGTTTTCTAGAACGATCTAACATATAGGAATTGAAATATGGTTATTATAGTGAAACCGAGCACTACTTTCTATACTGTTAACTATATATCAGACGACGAAGTACTCTGTTCATATATGTATCCAATAATAGTAGAGTTACGGGATCTCAATGATTGTATTTTATGTTCTTTACTGCTACGAAGGTCCATGTTACGTCGATGAAGGTTAGACATCCAGGTAATACTTTTTGCCAAAGAGAGACCAGAGGAGAATTGCAATTCTCCTCTAGTCTCTCAGTCACTGACGAAAGCTAGTGGATACTAGCTGAAACATTTGACCGTTTCCAAAATCATATCCAGTTGCTTGAGTAACTGATTTTTGGAGAATGTCCATGTTAATTTCACATTTACAAAATTGTAATACCTTTGACATAGTTCAAACCTTTATTCATATCACTGTACAGGTAGATTGTTGTAATTGTTACATCACCAACTTGTCTTCTTTACACTCATCATACTTTTATCCCTTTTGTGATTATGTATTATGTGATTATGCACATTGTTATTGTTTTTTACTCCTGTTTTATATTTATGTTATCGAGTAGAAGGCGTTATATACGTAATTGTGATTTTTGCCTGATAATCATTAAATATACACTATGTGAATAAACAAATGAATTGAAGGCACAGACCATTTTATGTAAATGACAGATTCTAGATTCTACTAACTTAAAGGGAAATGTAATGGATATTCTATTTTCTTCTCAATCTATCGTTATGCTTACTGAATTTTTGTTTCAAAAACTGTATTTGTAATTCCGTAAATAATTTCATCAGGTTGGTAAACGAATTAGTAGCAAAGTTCTTTGATCACAACCATTTATTTTTCACGAGCCGACGTTTCGATGACCGTCTGTCATCTTCTTTAGGGCAATTCTGACTGCTTTACTGTTCACTGACGTTAGATGTTACTTGGTGCATAGTGCACTAATTAAAGGTGTTACATAGTTCACAGTGCACTTAAGATATCACCAAGTAACATCTAGCGTCAGTGCACAGTAAACCAGTCAGAATTGCACTGATGAAGATGACAGACGGTCATTGAAACGTCGGCTCATAAAAATTAAATGGTTGTGACCAAAATACTTTGCTATTCACCTGTATTTGTAATTGTTTTCTTTAAGACAGACGTCAAGTTGGAGCGACTAGTGCCCTGTTCTAGTGTATTTATAGCAAAACCTTAAAGGCCCATTATGTAACTTTTTGACAATACAAATTATTGTGGCATTGAATAGTCAAGGTTTGAAAACTGTGCACATATCTGATAGCACTTAGCACTGAATGTTTTTTTAAACAATTGTTTCTCGATCTCTATATATTGCAATTTTTTTAAAATTTTCTACCACACTCGCAGCTGGACCTATACTTGTAAACTTTAGAAGTAACCTAACGTTACAACGTTTTCAAGATGTATTCAGTCCTGTGAATGTGTGTGTGCACTACAATGCAAGCGACATTATTTGTTTATTTGTTTATTAGAATTCACCACTAGTACAAACGTACAAGTTGAAGGGAGGACAAAACAGGTGTATTGACACCTTTACAAGTTGTCCTCCCAAACACAGCAATATGAATACAGAACAAAACAAATTACAATGTCGAACAATTGTTGACATGTAATACAAATTCCTACAATAACATTAGACATCCTAGGCACACTTTAACATGAATCTTTTCTAGTACCAGTATTTATGTTGTAACTGTAAGAATACACCTAGTTTCTTGGAATGTTTTGCACGTGTTTTTATTGGAATTTGCTACATCTTAAAGTAGTCAGCAGTAATATGCAAAATGCGTATACATACCTCATGTATATATATACAATGTACATGTACATTTTATTGTAATGTCTAGAACAGTTTGCTTACATCTATATTGTGTATATTTGACGGTAAAAAATCATATAACAAACAGTGTGTCTAGTGGTTTTACTGCATTTTAATTGTAGTATATTCCTATTTTTCATCAGATGCCTAGCTCGATATTTTTCGGAAAATCAAAGCTAGCAATACTAGTAATTGCGAAATGTTTTGTGTCTGATTTGTCTGAGCCCACGTAGTCTCGTTTCGCTATTACGGATCCGCGTAAAGGTTTAAAAAAAAGAGTCGTGACAACAAAAGAAATATAATTAAGCCCGAACAGTGAGTAAAAAGACTGTTTTTACACGACAAAATATTTTATTCAGCCGACGTTTCGTTCGTTGACCGACGTCCCTCGCCTTCCTCAGGGCAATTCTGACTGGTTCACATTGCATTGCAGCACAGATGTCGCTGCTATATAGATGCATTCCCGAACAGTGAGTAAAGAGACTTTTTTCACACAACCAAGTCTTTTGTTTCGGCGACGTTTCCTTGACCGTCCCTCACCTTCCACAGGGCAATGCTGACTGGTTCACATTGCACTGCAGCACAGGTGTCGCTGCTAGAGATGCATTCCCAATGCAATGTGAACCTGTCAGAATTGCCGTGAGGAAGGTGGCAGACGGTCACCAAAAAGACTTGGTTGTGCAGAAAGAGTCTCTTTATTCAGTGTCTTAACAACCATTCACGGATAAGCCCAGACAGCTTGCGTTTCAGTCGATCATCAATACCTTCCATCGCTCAAAAAAGTGGCGTATTCCAACGTGTTAGCCTATGGTACAGCGAAATTGGCGTATTCACTTCGCTCATCATCAGGTAAAAATGAGCATTGTACTGTCCCCTGTGTTAGTGGTGGCATTAATATAAATTGAAGAAACTTGAGTGTGCCGTCACCATGTTTTGTGATTACGTGTTGGAATTTAAAAAAAAGGCGTATGGAAGCTTGTTGTGGCAGCGTTCCCATCGCCTTGGAAACCTGACCTACAGGGGTCAAAGGTATTAGGAATCTGCCATCCAAACCCGGGGGTGAACAGAATTAGTGTACGTACATACGCAGTAGAATAAGGAATAATGTATACATAGGGAGTATACACTGAACATAAATCAAAACGGAGATATAAAACGAAGCGAGCATAGACCATATTCAGGACAAAAGATACAAAAACCGGAAGCTCTGCTGAAGTACCAAGGTCAGCCACCTTGGATAGGGAAGAGTCAGACATCATTCGTAGTAAAAATTAAAGGACCAAATTGGAGACTATTATCATATCACGAAATTGGTGATAAACACGTACACCTTACGTACCTGAGTCTATGTTGAAACAAGAATTCTGAGATTTCATACCTCCATGAAATATGTAGAGTTTATGTAAATGTTTTGTTTCATTGAAGTTCTGCTGCAGTACCAAGGTCTTACACCAGGAGGCCCATATTTAAACTTGACCTTCGTCTTCCTAAGACTTACCAACATACTAAATATCATCACAATCTATAAAGGCGTTCTGAAGTTATGATGACCACAAAGTTGCGGAAACACACACAGACACACACAGACACACACACATACAGACACGCCAAAAACTATACCTCCATTTTTCATGAAGGTAATTATCATGTTACATGCGCTGATTTGCATAATGGTAAATTAGACAGCATGGAAAAATATTAATAAAGAACTGAAAACAATGTTAGACATCACGTGTTTTGATTTATTGGCGAAACTAATATGCAGAAAGATTACAAATCTCTAACAGCTACATCATGTACCTTACAGAACGATTTGAAAACAAATAATATTTTTCAACATCCTAAGTGCATTTAGAACTAACTAGTTAGTGAGTGCTATAAGAGACGGATCATGACCCTTGACGTCGAACGAACGGTTTTGTGTACCGTGTAACTCTGTCACTATTGTCTAAAAACACAACTTCTAGTTCTGATCAAAAGGCTACGGAGCATGCATTCGTGATTTTACAATAAACTCATGCAAAAAGGACACAGTAAATAAGAGGTAGAAATAGTCCACTGTGTTCTGCTGCTGCAGTAGCTGGGCATCCTGCAGCATCAACCACGGAGTGGTTGTTCATTCTCATCTTTTTCCAGTGTGTCTGCCAAGTAGACGTGGGTAAATTCCGTCTTGGCTTCATTCATGAATAAGAGGTCACATTGCTAAAAGAGATCTACAAACCTCGCTACTGACTCAAATGATACCACATAAAAGTGGATATTTGAAGGTTTTCGCTGGTGTAAGATTGCATGTCGACACTCAGACTACTTAACTACCAATTTGAAAGAATTTGACTACATTTTTCCAACAGTGTTGCTACAGTTTTAACCAGTGTGAGTCTAAATGTGTATCTGAAAATTAACATCTCTCTAAATTGCTTTCAGCACTCGTCTTATCTGTACGTTTTTTTTTCCTCACCAGTGTGAGTCCTCATGTGTCTCTTAAAATTAGCAGGATCGCTGAACTGCTTGTTGCACTCCTCACATCTGTAGGGTTTCTCACCAGTGTGAATTCGCATGTGTCTCTTCAGATTAGCAGAATCGCTAAACAGCTTGTTGCACTCTTCACACGTGTAGGGTTTCTCCCCAGTATGAGTCCGCATGTGTCTCTTCAGATCACCCAGCAGACTGAACTGCCTGCTGCACTCCTCACACCTGTAGGGTTTCTCTCCAGTGTGAGCCCGAATGTGTTTTTTCAGATCACCCAACTCACTGAACTGCTTGCCGCACTCCTCACATCTGTACGGCTTTTCACCAGTGTGAGTCCTCATGTGTCTCTTCAAACTACACAACTCGCTGAACTGCTTGCTGCACTCCTCACACTTGTACGGTTTCTCGCCTGTGTGAGTCCGCATGTGTGTCTTTAAAACTTGTAGCCGACTGAAGTCCTTGCTGCACTCCTCACATCTGTACGGTTTCTCACCTGTGTGAGTTCTCATGTGGTCCTTCAAATTACCCAGCCGGCTGAACTGCCTGCTGCACTCCTTACATTTGTAAGGTTTTTCACCAGTGTGAGTCCGCACGTGTTCCTTCAGATTACCCAGCCTGCTGAACTGTCTGCTGCACTCTTCACACTTGTACTGTTTTTCACCCGTGTGAGTCCGAATGTGTCTTCTCAGACTACTCAGCTCACTAAACTGCTTCCCACATTCCTCGCATCGGCAGGGTTTCTCACCTGTGTGAGTCCTCATGTGATTCTTCAGATAACTCAGGAAGCGAAACGCCTTGTCACACTCGCCACACTTGTGGGTGTGCGGAGAATGCTGCCTCCGCTGCCCAGTCTCTCCCTCCTCATGTTCCAGATGGAATTCAGGTGTAGCCATGTTGGTCAAACCTGCAGGAATAATCATGTAAGAATAAACATCAGAGATTTGATTTTAATTAGAGAACAAATCGCGAGAGGAGCCCGGTTTTACATGGAGGCACTGGAAAAAACAAACCTACAAACAATTGAAAATACGTACAACACCCTAAAGCCTACATATTAAAACAACATCTCCCGAATCTGGTTTCATTAACAAATGCATTAATGCATTTTCAAATGTATGGCTCTGCAGGATAATACTTAAAAGATAAGTTAAATTTAGCATAAAAAGCAATCAATGTAAAGTAAGTCGAAATAAAAAAGAAATACTAGTAGTTCTTCGCCTGCCAATTAATAATGTATCCTACAGCTAGATTTAGGTTCCACACATGGAAAAAGTCATAGATGAATACAGGAAAGGAAAATCATGGTCAGGACTTACCGAGATGCACAGAAGCTCCACAGTATTGCACGATGTTTTCACGACGACACAGATCCTCACGGCTGCAGAGTCAGTACTGACAGAAACAGAGCAGTCAGGGACGCGTTTATATAGGGACTTATCATGGGTAGATTAAACCGGTCCGGTGGGTTTTATATAATTACTTGATTACGAAACAAAGGAAGTATGGTGGCATGTTACATGTGCTGATTTACATTGAGAAAATCAGACAACAAGAAAAAATAGACAACACCTACAGACAAACGACAACTTGGAAAATCACTATGAAGATGAAAAACAATAAAGACAAAAAGACATTTCGTGTCTTCATTTATTAGCAAAACTGATATGATTGATGGGTGAAAATGACATCCAAAAAGGCGAGGGATGACTACCAGCTACATCTAGCTTACAGAAAATTAGGAAAGCAAACAATACTGAGCAACATCTTTATGCATACATGACAAGCATGCATGCTGCAACTTATTGAGCGAGTTGAACGTTTAATGCTTTTCCTAAGAGGTCTACAACAGTCCTCCACCGGACCTTCCCCCTCTCTAGCTTGGGCCCAACTGCCTGATTCCGGGCCCCACGCTCCCCTCATTGGGCCTATCCAAAGCCATTACATGTGCTCCGTCACACCAAACAATAAGGAACACTGGTCGAAAAGGCCTCGGATGCAGCCAAATGCGGACGGGGATATCTATGCATTTGTAGCAGATGCAAGCGGATTCAAACTGATCCGTAAAATATTCGAAATTTGTATTCTTACTTAGGGATCCGGAACGTTTGCTTATTCATTGAATGCCCATTGAATGCATGCCTGCTGGCCACGTTTCAATGCGGTCATTACAATTAGTAATAGGCACAATAGGACAATAGCTGTAAAACTATTTTTCAGCAAAAACCCTTTGGAGACTCTGGTAGAGAGTTGACACTTATCACTACCACACATTTCACAATTAACACCTGCAATTTCGCAGTTTATCGCTAGGTGGTTACAACCTTGCAGTGATCAAAGGTTAGACGTCCATAGGTGGAAGGTCGGTCGGTCCGTGTAGGAGTAAACGTACGACTGCCCTGAACGTACCGCTACCAGGGGGAAGCGCGAGCGTCATGTCCGGTGCAGCAGGCCGTGTGTACGACCTGTGCGTGGTGGGGGCGGGGATGATCGGGTCGGCGGCCGCTCGGCACGCCTCCGAGAGCCCGGGCGTCCGGGTGTGTCTGGTCGGGCCCGGGGAGCCACAGGTACGTCACAGGTACAGACAGGTTCAAGGCCAGGGTTTGTAACGTCACTAGGACTGCAGGGCTAGGTACGTCATAGGTACCACAGGTTTAAGACCAGTATACGCTCTAGGTTATGTCACCTGTAATAGTAACCCCTACACTGTAGATCAGTAATTACCTTCGCCAATAATTGGAGAAGGTTATGTTTTCCTGCCGTGTGTGTGTGTGTGTGTGTGTGTGTCTGTGTGTCTGTCAACAGCATAACTCGAGAAAGCTTAGATGGATTATCTTGATATTTGGTAGGTGGGTAGGTCTTAATGAGAGCTCGAACTGATTAGATTTTGGGCCCCCTGGCGGCTTGTCATGGTACGGTAGCTGAACTTCCGGTTTTGATATCTCATGATCCAGACATGCTAGGATGACGAAATTTGGATGGCAGATAGCTCTTGTGCTGGGGAAGAAGTGACGTGACATGAGTTTGGGCCCCCTAGTTGCTTTCTAGAACTGCAGGGCGGTTTAAAGGACAAATGTTTAAAGGAGGATAACTCAAGAACCGATTGATGGATCATCATAATTTTTGGTATGTAGGTAGCTTGAGTAATGCTTGACATAATGATATTACAATTATGCAAATATGGATGTAATTTGCATAATTAATGAGGAAATTCTATTAATCAGCTGCATTCCATGATAGGAAGTTCAAGTTTGCGACATATGTTATTAAGAACGAGAGAAACACAGGCAGATATCGATTATGCAAATGAAGACTTAATTTGCATAATTAATGAGAAAATGTTATAATTGCATAGTGGTAACTGCCAGGAATTTTATACTTGGGGTGTTTGAAGTTTAGTGAAGGTGAACATAATTTAACATAACTTATTCAAATAAGGACATCATTTGCATAATATATGAGGAAATGCTATAATGGCTTTCTTTGTTAAAATAAGACTGTTGGTGGAGATTATGATTAACAGATATAATTCATGCAATTGCGGATCCTATTTGCATAATCAGGGGGATTAATGCATTGTATATAAGTTCTTATTCATAAAAGCTAAGTTAAACATCATTTGGCGAAGGTATGAGATCGAGGAACTCTAGTTATCGTATGGGAATGAGCGAAACTAAGATTTGAGTTAGGTTCGATCCGCGTGTAACTGATTCAAACCTTACAGCCCGGTCTTTAATTTTCGGTTCGTTTGTCTGTTTGCCTGTTTGTTTGTTTGTTTGTTTTGTGTGTCCATAGTTATTTAAATGCAGGAGAGCCACTGAAAGTGAGAGGAAAATGGTGTATAACTTTAAACTTGCAGGGAGGTCGAATGGTAGGTGAAGCCACAATAACGAACTAAACAAAAAATTCATAACGACTTTGTTAGTTCAGTTTTGTGAAGTCTTCTATATCTGGTGTCCTTTTTTTTTACTATTTCGCCACACCGCCCCACACCCTCCTTCCCCTTTCCAGGATCGAAAGAGCCGCATTATTTTCGGGGCGCATTACGATGAGGGCCGCATCACCCGTGCCCTTGCCTCTGACCCGACCTGGGCACTACTTGCACAGAGATCTATCCGCAGATATCGAGACTTGGAAAGAAAAACAGGTAAGAAATGCATTGGTGTATCCTGAACCATGCTTTATCCAGAACCATGCTCATGCACGATTCTTGATAGTCCTCGCGCATCTACGTTCTTGGATGCGAATACTATCCAAACTGTACCTGATCCTAAACCTAACACATTCAGATCTTAATAGGCATTGCTTTGGGTACGATAATTTCACATGCAGTGTTAAGAATACCCATCTGCAGTCTAAATTTTGCAGATACATTTTTAATATTGCAGAAGGAAAAATAGAAACCTGCATTTTTTGTATATGCAGTGAGTTCATGGCCAGGCTCATAAGTGTGTACTAGTATTTCTGAGTATCTATGAATTACAAAATTCATAGATTGAAAAACAAAATTTTGGAATTGTGTACTATTGCAGAACACTGAAGTAATTCTACCACTAAAAATATTTCTACCACTATGAAATAAAGACTAAGCTTTAACTTCCAACACTTAGAATACAGAATTGAGACTTACCCAATTTTTCGGTTGACTCCATCAACCTTGTTCACGGAATGGACCCTTGTTCTGGAAGGGGTGAAAATCTCTCACAGACCTACCCTGAACAGAGACGGGGGGCGACACAAGTTATCTGGCACGTACTACGCTACTACGGTCACGTGTCTCTGATGTCACGTTCCAAGAGTAGACGGGTCCATTCCGTAAACAAGGTTGATTGAGTCAACCGAAAATTTGGGTAATTCCCTATTATGTAATCTAAGTGTTGGAAGTTAAAGCTTAGTCTTTATTTCATAATGACTTGTAACAACACAGATGAACTTTCATGCTATTTCTACCACTGATGTTTTTCAGGGATACAGTTCTTCAACGACGTCGGGTATCTCGTTGTCGGGTCTCCTGACGGCGATTACGTCAGAGACGTGCTGGAGAACGCCCGGCGTCATGACGTCACGGTCCGGGTGCTTTCCCGCGGACAGACCAGTGAGATGTTCCCTTATTTGGACATAGGGGAGGGGATGGTGGGACTGCTCGATTCCCGGAACTGTGGACACGTCTCCCCCAGGCGACTGGTGAGAGCACTGCTGACAGCAGCCCACCTGCAGGTACGGTAAAGCATGGAGTTCTAAGTTCTAAAGTAAGTTGTTGGAATTTTCTTACAACATCCTCTTAAATCAAGAGGCTTGCTTCTAGGGGTTAAAATCCTTACCCACAATAAGTCTTAGTTATTCCCTTGTATTTTGTGTAATTAATTTCATGTTTCGATTTAAATCATGTCAAGACACATATATCGTTCATTGAGCGCATTCGTGATACAGAATTTGTATGTGGCGGAATTTACATAAGATGCACTGCAGGAAATATCAAGACGCATGTTCCACATAGTTTGCTACATCGCATGTTCCGTTCGCTAGGGGTGCGTCGTGGTTGTGGTACATTTAAAATCTGTTACGTTCCAGGGGTGTGACGTTGTTCGTGACGTGGTTTCCTCGGTTGAACCCCCTGCCGGCTGGGCGAGACGCGCAGGCGCCAACCTGGCGGTGCGGACCGAGACGGGGGCCGTTATACACGCCCGGAGGGTGCTGCTGGCCACGGGAGCCTTCACGACGTTCCGCCGCCTGCTGCCGCCGGGGCTGCGGCCAGACCTCAGGCTCACCGGGCAGATAGTCTCACTGGTACGGCATTGCCTTAAGCTTCGGTCCCAATGTGCGCCGGTGCCCGTCGGGGATGTAGCCCCGGCCGGTCCTGGTCGGGCTCAGGAGTCGGGCGAGCATCAACTGTCATGGTCACAATTAAAAGTTTCCTTCAGTAGCATTTTGTTAAAAATTTTGTCACCCTCTTTGTTTGGTCTCCGGTACCCGGCAGGTACCCGGCAGATTCGCTGACGATGTCTTGTACTGACCTATACGTAATGCATGCAGAATTCACGCTTTTGTTGTGATCATTTCATCTGTGACGTCACCGGAGGTGTATCTGTCGGTGTTCTCACGGCTCGGTCACGGCGTCTTTGTGTCAGCGGGGCCCGGGTAGAATTTAAGTCAGAATTATATTCTTCTCGGGTCCCAGCCGGGCCGAAAAATAGCCCGGTAGCCGCAGGGTGTCCCGCGGGGCCACGTAGGGGTCACGCCTGAAAGTGCCATAAAACAGCCCGGGAACTACTCGGCAGGGCCCTTTTTTCAATTGGAACCAAAGCATTATCCAGAACCGTGCTTCAGCCAGAACTATACTCAGGCACGGTTCTAGATAGTCAAAGTGTATACAGAACCGTGCTTCAGCCAGAACTTTACTCAGGTACGGTTCTGGATAGTCAAAACGTATCCAGAACCGTGCTTAATCCATGTCAAAGTCATGTCCAGACACGGTTCTGGATCGCCAATGCGTATCCAGAACAGTGTCTGGGGCAAATGAACTTTTTGGGATACGCGGAGACTAGTGATTTTGACCATGGAAAGGTAATTTGGATGATTCTGGATCACGATTATGATTTTTACATTTTGCTTTGTATATTTCTATTAAGTTATTTATAATAATTGTATCATTTGTTCAATCTGATTTTCAGTTATACTGATCTCAGTTAACATTTCTTAGTTATGTTACTTGATTGTAAAATATAGTTTTATACAAATTGCTTTATGTTTATGTGTCCCTCGGCCCTCCTGGAAATGAAAAAAATTTACTGTTGAAGAGGCCATTCAGGTTTCAAGATAAAATAGATAAATAAATAAGTAAACCCTGACCCATTAATTATAAGGCATAGAATTAGAAGCGCAATGTTTGAGCTGGAGCGAGTTGATGACGTCGATCGAGCGGATGCTAACGTCGCCGTTCCAACGTTGGACGTCGAGCGGACACTAACGTCGCCGTTCCAACGTACTTCATACATATTTTGTTTCATTTCGTTCCATTTCGTTCTTTCTGTACACCGCTAGTTCCTCGTCTTTCAGGTGGAGATTAGCGAGAGTGACGCCGATCGTCTGCAGCGCATGCCCAGTTTATATCACAGACACCCAACAGACCAGAGGAAATGGTACTACATCCTGCCGCCGATTCGCTACCCCGACGGTGAGACAAAAAAAAGGTCATTCATTCCCGTCCGTACATACGCATCTTCAAATACACATCGGACATCATAAAGATGAGCATTCCAAAGCAGAAAGGAGGAGAAATAAAACATTGGATCTCGACTCTAGTCTTCTGACTACACCTGCCCATATTGCCTGGCTCTTTCATTGTGTTTTCTTTTCAAACAAGACTGTAAATGAAAACATACATTGCCATGGCGACGGTGGTTGTAGTTAGAGTTATTGCTTGCATGGTACTGCCATCATTTTATGATTTTGAGGAAGCCTTGATACCTTTTAAGTCTAGACAGATACAGTGCACTCCTCCCCTGAGTGTATAGTGAACAAGCCCCGGGGTCACAGAAAGTAGGGCCATCCGGGGCAGACAGGTCTTTCCAACGGTTTCCAGGAATGTGGGTATAGTGGGTCAGAGACATGCCTGTGGACATTCCATTCCTGTGGACAAAATGCCTGTACCATTCCTAGAATTCTTGCAAACTGCACACCACACTGTACCATTAGGCTCCTCCCTGAGACGTCGCGAAAAACACATAAACGTTTGCATCTGTATGAAACATATAACTTTGTGTTCCCCTTGCAGGCAAGTTTTACATGAAGATCGGACACAGTGCCCGCTGGGAGGCGCTGCTGCAAAGTGAGGAGCAGGTCCGAGACTGGTTCCGCTCCGGGGGCGACCCGCAGGCCATCCGCGTCATGACGGCCGAGCTCATGGAACTCGTCACGGGTATGTGTGCTGACGTCACGGGTATGTGTGCTGACGTCACGGGTATGTGTGCTGACGTCACGGGTATGTGTGCTGACGTCACGGGTATGTGTGCTCACGTCACGGATATGTGTGCTCACGTCACGGGTATGTGTGCTCACGTCACGGATATGTGTGCTCACGTTACGGTTACGTGTGCATACGTTACTGGTAATCCAAAAAAATTATTTTTGGGGGGATTCAGTAAAATGTTATCTACAGAATCAGAACAATTGCTTCTGCTCCAAGAGAATCCCTTCTATGTTACTGATACGTGAGAACGTATTAATGTTGTTTCCAATCACGGTCCTAAAAATTCTGAATTTGTGTAATTTTTAATCACAACAAAAATGAGGATCAAATGGTGATAAAGGAATCTACAAAGTTATAATCACGAGATCTTATAATAAGATAAATAGAAAATTTACATAGACGATTTTGCTTTTGCTTACAATTTTCCCAAATAATACTTTGAAATAATTCTGTCGCCTTTTCCCAATCATTTTTAGGACTTAAGCCGATCTCTGTTCACGGCGACACATGCGTAACAGTCAAGACGCCGACGGAACAGCTGTACGTTGCCATGGTAACCCCGTCGCTGGGCGTAGCCCTGGGTGGCAACGGGTGGGCGGCAAAGTCATGTGACGAAATCGGACGAATGGCAGCGAAGATGATCTTAAAGGGCCAATGGGACCACGACCTTCCCGGGGATCGGTTCAGAGTCAGATGGGCTGAAAAAATGCAACCGAAATCTAAACTATAACTCGTTTGCACAACCTGCAACACGAGTAGGGAAACGCTGAACTTTCTACGCGGTAAATACAATTGTTTGTCGGCGTAGATTGACTTCACTAATAGCAAAGCAGTGTTTACTCTAGTGACAAGGGTGCTGTCCCTAGTGCTGATACATTATCCTTATATAAGGATGTTGGTTCTAGTGACAAGGGTGCTGTCCCTAGTGCTGATACATTATCCTTATATAAGGATGTTGGTTCTAGTGACAAGGGTGCTGTCCCTAGTGCTGAACATGATATATCCTTTTAATGATTGAGCGGGCTACCCTGGCTAAAGAAAACATAATAAAAAAAAATATAAAAATAATAAATGTCAGCCATATTTCCTCATTCAGAATTTGTTTGTTTGTTTTGCCGCCCTCTAATTGCTTTGGATGCCTTTAATTTTGCACGAAATGTTATAGTACCACTAAGTATCTGATACCAGCCCAGAAAAGAACAAGAAACAGTCATGCCTTCAAATATCAGAGTTATCAACCAAGAATTGAGGTACATGTGTATTAAAAAACTCGAATTTCCCCAGAATTATCGTAGACTGGAACTCGTTGCCGCCAAACACAGTTGGGGCATCATCACTAGAAAGCTTTAAACAACTTCAGCAATCAAATAGGCAAATATTGAGTGTAACAAGACGTTCGGTGTGCCTGCGAAGCTGGTGTGTAACGCCGAAGGGCGTTTATACTGGCTATACCGATATAGATACAGATACAGAGTTTGCGTGAGTTGGTGGGGCGCTCTGCCGAGGCCTTTTTGCCCAGTGGAAGTTTCGGCATCCGAGCATTTGTCGGCCGTGTACGCTATTTTGACCTGAGTACTGCGGTCGGGCACTATGAGCCGCGAGAAGGCCCCTTGCTGTTATACATGACGTAAGTATCGAAATTGCGGTTAGAATTACATAATACGTGCACTTCCTAAAGTAAGGCCACACTGACTTAATTTTATGCATGACATCCACATGCGCATTGATTTTCGCCTGTTGTCAAACAAAAAAAAAAAAAAATCACGTCCATCGAGGCTCTGGCCTGGTTCTAGTCTAGGTCCTAGTAGTCCATTATAGTTAGCGACAATACGGAGCCGGGCACCCAGGCTAAAGCTACCAAAGCTCCACGACTTAGTACAGTGCCTATTCATCATCAAAAACAGCATGTGCCAGCTTGTCGTATACGTCGTACTGCCGCTAATTTAAAGTACCAGGTTTGTATTCCTGTGGTTTAGTACCATTTTTATTTTTGGTCGGATTTTTTTTATTCGCCCGCGCGCACTAGTTTGGGGGCCTTCAGAGGATGTCATCCATAAAATTAAGGCGGTGTGGCCTAAGAAAAAAAAAACATGATACACTGTTTTCAATTGGATTTACAGCCAAAAACTGGCGTATTTAAGCTTACATAGGGCTTTTCGATAAGACGGCTATTGCTGGCATTTTGCAGCAGTCGGCACTGTACTGATCGAGTTCATGAGTTCCGTGGAGCTTCGGTAGCCTGGGTGCCATCCCCCGTAGTACATAGTTACAGCCGGCTCCCTAATGTTGCTTCCGTGGACTATGGAGGATGGTATCCAGGCCAGAGCTTTTTTTAGAACAGGCGAAAATCAATGCGCGCGCAGATGACATCCATAATTAAATCACTGTGGCCTTACTTGATACGTGTGCTTGCTAAAGAAAGCAAAAGACCTCTTGATTAAGTTGATAGTGACTGTTTTCAATTGGACTCACAGCCAAAATTGTGGCGCATTATAAGTCTACAGCGAAATTGGCGTATTAAACCTTGTTGTGGCAGCGTTCTCATTGCCTTGGAAACCTGACCTTCAGGGGTCAAAGGTAAGGATTCTGCCATCCATAACCGGGGGATGAAACGGAATAATTAGTGCACATAGGCATTAATATATGGAATAATGTACACATGGGGAGGATGGTATACACTAACCGTAAACCTTTTCTAATACGGAGATGTAAAACGAAGTGATCATATTTATTTTCATATCGGAATCCCTTGACAAGACATGTTTGTGAATGGTTTAGCCCAGTTGATTCGGGTCAGTGACCGCGTGGTCGTTCGGTGGTACCATACCCGGAAGTAACGTGGTCCTCTAGGCTTACTATAGCAACAAATGGACGCTAACTTCGCTGTGTGACATTTCATACCTTATCAAGATCCTTGTGCTTTCTTCTGAAGCACCGTTGGAAGGTGGATGGGTGTTTTGCATTCAAATTTGCCGATGACATTCGTAAGCCTACGGGAGACGAGATGGCCCTCCCTAATACTGTCTAAACAGGGACTTTGCACCTTTGCATGGATAGCACAGTGAATCTCAGCACTACAAAACTGACTCTAACAAAAGATGGACCTACGGACGTTTTTATTGGTGTCTGCTAGCAGCGCAGTGTGGTGGTTGTGTACCTTCCTGTTCCTGGTCCCGAGAGCGTCCGCCATGCTGGTCCCTGGGTACAAGATCATGACGGCGAGTGATCGGATCATCTGGAACAACAAGTACGTCATCAGGGGAGGGGTTACCCTGGGTGCCAGCCAAGTTTACGGGTCGCTAGCCGTTTCCTCCGGCAGCCAGAAGCCCTTCGCCCGCAGACCTAAATTACCGCTTCCGTGGAATTGAGCCCGATTGTAGGGCCAGCCAAACTCCCCCCTGGCTAGACTCCCCCGTACGTAGCGCTAATTTACACCAGCGGGCGAAGGGCTCTTGCGGCCCGGAAAGCGAGTTCTGGCTTCCAGCGTAGCGATGGATTAGCCTGGTATTCAGTCTATCGAGGTTGGGGGCGGGTTCTCTTCGGGGCTGCAGGAGCTCTTCCCCGCCAGACTCAGCTAGGTTCCCGGGTATGTTTTGTACGACCGCGGTCCTAGCGTGCAAAGCATACAGGCGTAACACTCCTACCGGGCGGTCTGTTGAGCTCAAGGCCAGGCTAGGGGAAACTTATTAGCCCCCGAAGACAACCTGGTCCCAACCACGACAGACTGGATACCAGGCTAGGGATGGGTGAATGTGGTTCTGTGGGTGGCTATGTTACTGTAACAACATTTCTATCACATGTTAATTAAGCAGGGCTGGAAATACTGGGTGCATGTGCACCTTAGTACACCCTAAATTGGAGTTGTGCACCCAATTCCTTTCTATCTGTGGATGCATTGGTACACCAAAATATTTTTGTAGGTATTTTTGTACATATCAAATAATAGTACGCAGGCTATCCTTGGCATCAAAGCGTCAGAAAAATAATAAAATGTTTGATGTAGTACTTGTGTAAGATTTTGAACTTAGCAGCTTAGAAGAGGAGCATTGAGATCTTTAATTATGTTTTGTTTTATATGGTGCACCCAATTTTTTTTCTGATTGTAATATAAAAGTGAAGCAAATTCCATATATCGTTATCCATCACGTGTAGCTACCCCACCTAGCGATTGGGTTGTAAATTGCCACTTTTTTCTTTGTAATAAATCATGGGTCCAAATTTATGCCCAGACTTAAAGGTCACTTCATTGACAAAAGTGGCTGTGCAGGTCAAAAAAGACTTTTTTTGATCGAATAACTAAATTGTAGACTGAATGAATTATTGAATCAATCCCCAAGCAGGTCTTTCGGAGTCCATAGAAAGTACCATATTAGTCAGCCAGTATTTATTTGCCAGGGTGTTACCATTTGCCATAATTGAAAGACTGAATGGATGGATGAATTAGTTGATAATTTTATGATTGTTCTCTGTGTTTTAGAGCGATGTCTGTGCTGAACGCTGTCCTGACGGGAACAGTAGCTGCTGTTGCTCTCCTTTTGGAGGAACTGCCCAAACTGTACAACGGCACGCTTTGGTAAGTTATGTTAACCGAAGGAAAACAAATTGTTTTTCTGATCATTTTTTCCCTATTCTTATTCTCCAAAGAAATAAGATCAATGACCAGAACCAGACGTCTATCACCATGGTATCTAGTGTTAGGTTACATCATGTTGCAATTTATAGAAAGAGGGATTTAGACTGGGATTTGGACTTACAGATTTGCAAATGTTACCTTTCTAGTTCCAATTACTTTACTCACGGGTCCATTTCAGCCATTAAAGGCATGGCAATTGTAGGTAGACATTAGACCATTACTAATCTTGAGGTTGTATGCACTTCAAATGCTTGCTTTTATATCTATCATGCATTTCTATGTTTTGAGGGGGGTTCTATGTCTATGGTAAAAGTCTAATTCCCTATTTTACTCTACCATATCGTTGCAGGGAGGATTCTAGTGTTATCCACTACACAGCCTCAACTAACGTGGGGTACCTGCTTGTCGGTAAGTTCAATTTTCACCGTTCATGCATTAAAAAATGTATATGTTGAACATGGACGCAGCATCTCTGCAGTTCAATAGAAAACAGTTAAGCGGCCAACCATCATCCGTGTCCTTCCATTTGTCAGCGTACTTAGTCTGGAGAAACAAACACAAACTCACATCTCAGCCACCCAAACTGATACTTCTGTATCCGGCAGTAACGTTAACAATTTTGACTGTTTTTTTTCGTTTACTCGACAATTCATTATTCTAAAACTCAACGTTCCCTTGTACTTCACAATTGTGTCCTATTATTTTATTTCTTTCGTCACTGGGTGGGGAATTGGCCATGCGCTTCCAACATCTTTGTTCTTATAATAAGTACGTCACGTCATGTAATTGATTAAATTTAAATTGATTTTTTTTCTATTACTAGTAATCTATATCTTTTGTTATGTGTAAAAAGTAGCATTAAACTAAGTCCTTGCTACTTGAGTGCACTATCACTTTTGTGTTGTATAGCGTTCCTCGATCAATTTGTGAATAATAAAAATGTTTGAAATGTGCCTCCCAGACACAGGCCTGCTGCTAAGGAACCCCGGTATGACCGACCGAGGTATCCTCATCCACCACGTCATCATCGTCGTGTGTATCCTGGCAAAAATCGTGAGTTAGTCGTACGATAGTCTTACGATGACAAACTGAGCATATTCTTGTTATAATTGTGCATAATTATGTCTTATACGATACAGCTGTCTTAGATTCTTGTCGGCCTTTTGCTCTGTTACAGCTTGCATAAATTCTACGACTTACACATCAAAATCGCTCCACGGTTTAAAAAAAAATGGTGCCCTTGCCCTTGCCTACTACCCTATACGTTAAATCCTTAGTTTCAGTCAGAATTTTGCCTGTTGCATGGGATATCTTTTCCGACATTACATTTAGAAACTACAGAATGGATGTTAACGCCATACGATAAATAGATAGGTAGGAAAATGTTTGATATAGATGCTGGGACAACAAAACAGCAACTTGCATCAAGTTTTTACTTATTTAAAGGAAAAACATCATATGTTGTCACGTTTAACCTTTTTTTATACATTTGCAATGATAATATACGCGTTAGCTTACGCTCTATAATTTTCCAAGAGTATTGCAAACTTGTAGTAAAGACTAGTGTAATAATGACACTTTACATTTTGTTTCCTTGCAGCTTTTGGATTTCGGTCCACCGACGTTCTTCAACGCAATGCGCATGATCCAGGAAGTGTCTAACCCATTTCTACACTTCAGGTTGGTATAAAGTTTTCCATTTATAATAACTTCGGGGCCTAAACTTTCGATGACTTTTCGATGGCTTTTTCCTTGTAAATTTTTTTAATAAGGCCATACTTTGGTATGTCAGTCAACACTATGCTATGCTATGGACTGGCACCTTGTTTTTACTTTCCCGATACCACAGTATGGAAAAAATTAAATTTGACGAAAATGCAACCAGCCCCCCATTGGTTGAACAGCTAATTGCCATTCTCTCATTGGTTGAACTGCTAATTATGATGGGCAGTCAGGATATCTTTTCTCTTAGAGTCGTTTTAGAGCTAGTTAGATTAGTATCAGTAGTCCTGTTTGTACTACAAGCATGTATATACCTTTCTATCTGCTTTATAATACCTGTACTTAGCCCGATAGGGCATGAATGTGCAATAAAGATTATCTGTATTTCTTGCATTCACGTCACCAACGGTCTTCTGTTTGCAGCGTCCTTTCTGTTGTCCCATGTTTTCCCGATCCCGTACTATCGACATTTTTGACGGAAATACAGCCACTCCCTCATTGGTTGAAGCAATAATTGTCATTCTCTCATAGGTTGAACTGCTAATTATGAGAGAATCGTTTTCTTTTTTTTTTCTTGCAGGTGGCTCCTTACGGCGATCAGGGTGTCTAGAAGTCTAGACTTTACGTCACCAACGGTCTGCTTTTTGCAGCGTCCTTTCTGTTCTCCCGTGTTTTTCCAAATCCGTACTATGGGCACACTTGACGGAGATGCAGCCGCTCTCCTATTGGTCAAACCGCTAATTGCCATTCCTCTCATTGGTTGAACTGCTGATTATGATGGACAGTCTGGGTCATTTTCTTTTCTTCTTGCAGGTGGCTCCTTTTGGCGATCGGGGTGTTTAGAAAGTCTACTTTACATCACCAACGGTCTGCTATTTGCAGCGTCCTTTCTGTTCTCCCGTGTTTTCCCAAATCCGTACTATGTGCATATTTGACGGAAATGCAGCCACTCCCTCATTGGCTGAAGCACTAATTGCCATTCTGTCATTGGTTGAACTGCTAATTATGAGAGAATCGTTTTCGTTTTCTCTTGCAGGTGGCTCCTCACAGCGGTAGGGGTGTCTAGAAATTCTAGACATTACATCACCAACGGTCTGTTATTTGTAGCGTTCTCCTGTGCTTTCCCAAATCCGTACCATGGGCATACTTGACGGAAATGCAGCCGCTCTCCCATTGGTCGAACCGCTAATTGCCATTTCTCTCATTGGTTGAACTGCTGATTATGATGGACAGTCACGATCGTTTTCTTGTCTTGCAGGTGGCTCCTCACAGCAATGGGGGTGTCTAGAAATTCTAGACTTTACGTCACCAACGGTCTGCTATTTGCAGCGACGTTTCTGTTGTCCCGTATTTTCCCGATCCCTTTCTACTGGACTCAGTCAGTCCACCTCATCGCCTCCCCACAGACATACGCACGGTTCGGCGCGGTTGGACTCGGCTTCTGGTTCGTTGCGGACCTTCTATTTGACGGGATAAACTGTTATTGGGCAGTGAAAATCTGCAAAGGGACGTACAAATTCATGAAGACGAGAAAGTTAGAATAATTTGCTGCAACTTGTAACATTCACCAAGGTGGCCAAAGAAAAGGACCAATAGGAGCTCAGGGTTTTTGACTACTTTAGAAATCAGTCCAATGGGAGCTCAGGATTTACATTTACTATGAAAACCGGTCATTACGTGTCTTTATTTCACAACATGTTCAGAAACATCAGATCTATGCACATGTGGTAAACAATTAAGTTTTGTACATAAATGATAAGTGATGAGTAAACCTATACCTTTCACGGTGACCCTTTCATTGCATAATCTGCACTTGAAATGTATAAATATATGAAATAATTTTGTCTAGTCTTGTGCAAAGTTTCGGCGGGCTTACTACTGGTGTGCTTGTTTGTGTACTGTCCTTGGCAAGTCTTTCATTTAGGCTATTATTGACTCTACAAGCAGATGTTGTGGGGAATGCTCGTTAGCGTTTTATATATGGCTGTTTTTGTTTGTTTTTTGACGTTACCCCCACCGGCGACCTCCTCTGGCTAATGGATACCGTCTTGCCACCGAAAGGGGTATGGAGATAGCTATTAATTAATCTCCCACGATAACTCCACGACTACGAAAACTTCTACCTACCGGAGGGTTAGTTGAGCCGAGCGGCTTAGGCATGCATGCAGCCCCCGGTCTACCCTGTGCCACGTTAACACCACGTGAAAAGCATACACTACGTTATAATCAGTGCGAGCCATTGGTTCTGTGTTTTGCGGCAGCCAGTTGAAACCAGTTTCTGCCGGTTGCAGTCAGTAAATAATTCGTTGCCAAGCAACTGAAAAAGACTCGTATAATTTTTTTTGACCTTTATTTAAAGGGACACAAGAATGCATAGAAAGTGCCCAAATCGAACGCGCGAACATGCGACGTTGGCCTTAGGCTAATTCTTAAGAACTTCGCGTTTGCGTCATTTTGAAGGTATGGCGGCGGCCAATTTGTGAACGCTAGGCGCTAGCCCCAAATTCAAACGGCCGGCAGCGCTCTAAACTACGACGAGCTAACGAACTAAGTATAGAAATCACTTTTCAGACATACCATGCATGACATAATGACATATTTTATCGAGCCTCTTTTGTCCCTTTAAAGATAGTGTGTTGTCCATCACAATACTGTTCTTTCACAACCAGACGGTGCACGTGGTTTAAAGTGCTCATGACACCAAAAAATGACCTTAGCTGATTGTAATTAACATAACTAGTATTACCTGGCTAACGGACATATTTACAATAAATATGCATGGTTCTCCTGTTACATTCGAAATTCTAATGCCCTGCCTTGGAAAACTCAGCACAAGAAGGCCGTACAAGCTCAATTTTGCAGTCATTATGATTGGAACAAACATTAAGTGACTATATTGTATATATTGTATGTACACTTCCGATATTTGTATGTATTTTACGGACTCTTTTTTTGGTGCCATTTGGTCTTTAATGTCTTGTCTCACCGCGGATGTGCGTCAGAAACACGTTGCACCTCTAAGCTCTAAACTCTAAACACGTGAACAAGGTCACAGAACTGAGCTGGGCTACTGTGTCTTTTACACCGTGTTATCTGACAAATCCGTACAACAAAAGACGGTTACGTATGCCCGCATGTATACGTGGATAATTATAAGGCCTACAGCACAGAAGTTGTACTCTAACATTCCAGTAGCCTGTTATCCAGTCTGATCGTGGTCTGGGCCCAAAGAGCTCTGTCCCGCCCGCCTCACATAGGTTTCCCGGTGTGTATTTCGCGAGAGATTGATTAGCCCTCCACAAACATCGTGTTGGGGCAAACCAAATCCCCAAGCATACTGTCTCTCATTAGCGTAACTCTCCTACCGGGACGGTCTGTTGCACTGGGCGGGGGAAGCTATTAGAGCCCCCGAAGGCACAACCTGCCTGAACACCCCAACACCCCCAATCACGTAAGACTGGATACCAGGCTAACATTCTAGTCTCCACCAGACTCCTTGGTAGGCTACATACTAAAAAGGCGAAATCGGCCTATAAAGAGAGTGGTATGTAATTAGCCAGGGGAGTTAGCTGGCATAGTAGAACAAATTGGCCAGTTATTAGGAGACTGTTGGAGGCTAAAAACGTTCCATGTCAAAAATAGAACTATTATGCAGCAAGTTTAAACTAATTTCCAACACAAGAAACTGGACTCAAATTTTCGACTGTACAACTCCAGTCTTTGTCAAGGAATGATCAACCTACTGTTTCCGTGACGTCACTCAGATAACACACGTAACTCCATGTACAGTCGAAAATTTGGGTGAGTCCAATTTCTTGTGTTGGAAATTACAGTTTATACTTGCTGCATAATGACTTCTACCAACACAGATGAACTTTCAAGATAAAAAAAACTAGATTATCTTATTTATTTGTGTCTTTAAATCGAGTATTTGGAGACAAAACAGTTTACTGTTCTGTAGCGACACTGAATATCAGAGAACGTTCTAAATGGGTTAGCCATTAGACTAACACCACAAACATTATGCTATTGATGGTCCGTGTCAAAATAAAACTAGATTAGTTGGAATCTAAAACAAAAATGGGCGAGTATTTTTTACTGTTTTCGTGACACGCAGGACCCACTATACATTCTCTTCTTGGTCTAGTTCTTTTTCAGTCAAACCTTTGACGTTTCAGTACTAACTTGCAATTAAACCTTAGACTTTAAAAAAAATGGTAGACTTGTAAAAAAAAAACTATATACTTAGATTACGTTCTACGTCGACGTAGTTGATCTTATATCATACAAGATCGGAACTTACTCATAATAGAATACAATTTATCAATGGCAATATTAACAACTGATCAAAATTTAAAATCAAATCTAGAGACTCATCGTGACGCAGAAAATATATTCAACTTTAAAACTTTTTAAATACTTTCGTGGTCATGCTTAAGTAGGCATAGGGTTATACAATTTTCATACAACACGTCATTTATATGTGATATCCATTTGCAGACACAGCACGACAACAGATATTTAAGCAAAATTTACGATGTCCGTATTGAGACTTTAAAGGCAGGGAAATATTTTAGCATGGTTTACAGATACTGAAATATTCAGTTCCGACAAACATGTTTAACTTATATGTCCCAGAAAGCTATAGGAAATGTTTCGTATTTCAAAACTTAAGTCAAATTTGAAACATGAGTAAATCAATCAGTGTACGGAAGGACCACGTAACGACGATCTTTACGTACTCGTATAAGACGTGTATAGATGCGTAAAGATGGAATATACGTTGACTATATACGTATGAATATACGTTGGCATAGTTTAAGCATCCGTGAATACCGTTTTTCGTGCCGTGAGACCTTAAACTACGTTTTACACTAATTTTAAGAATTAAATTTTCAGCCAATCAGCCAGTCCGCGCTACTAGCCTTTCAAGTCTTTGTCACCACCTCCGAGAGGACACTTCACAAAGCAGGGGGAATTAGACTGATGTCAGTATTACATTATCCACACATAAAGCACAGTTGTACGTGGCGTGTTAGTTGTTGGTAAGTCCTACCGCTGGTCGGTAGGTTTGCAGTTCGGGAGAAATCAACACAGTTCTTCGTGAAGACATCTCTTTTATTTGAGAAGGTGAGTGAAATCTTTTCTAAGTTGTTTGCCAGTTATGAATAGAGCCATTTGATCGGAAATCATATTGATGTTCAAAAATAACGTAGTCGTGCCTAGAGCGTAGACTGCTGTTACAGTAATTTGTGGGAAAAGTTATGCGTTGCTCTATTTGCTTAGGCCACACTAATTTTATTTGTTGGTTCTCGGATTTTTTTCTGAAAAAGTATGAATCGACAGGGCGAAAATAAGAAATAAAAACAGGTTAGGCATCCAGTTATAGCCACAAATACTATGATTGGAGCCATGAAGTCAACACAAAAGGCTGGGTTAACATTTGTCAACAAATTTTGAACTTTTAATCAAACCACTGCATTGACAGATGAAAAACCTGAAACAACTAGGAAGAAAAGGACTTTCCTCAACTGTTGGGAGCAAAATATGAGCATTTTTGAGTTGATTTTAATCAGGAAAAAAAATGAAGAGGCGAATCAAATTAATTAAGATGGTGCGGCCTTAGGTACAATTACACAAGAAATTTATTCTGGTAAAAAAAGGCCCCTTTTTTACTAGAATAAATTTGATTCTAAGCGACCGGATCGGTGACTGGCTTCGATCAGGTCAACTTTTGTCGGTGGAGCGCTCACGATTCGGCTCAATCCGGCTAGGCCACGACCCACCTCGCGAGGTGGATCGTTGCTAAGGTGTATCAAGCCAAACCAAGCCGGATCGGGAGTGTTCTCATTGGGGGTAAAGTTGACCTGATCGAAGCCTGTTGCCAATCGATTCAGCTCTATCTGGACAAATTCATCCTAATTGGGATATATCCTATTGACCGTTAAAGGACCAAGATCGCTTTTGTGTGAGCCTTTTTTTAATTGGAATGCGATGCAGCATTTAAAAGTATGATTTAAAAGACGCAGAGATCATAAAACAGACTGTTCTTCATCTATTGTGTTAGTTGAGCGACCCGTCAAATGTTTTTTTTTTTTTCGATTCCAGTCTCTGGTAAAAAGGGGGAACGTGTAAGAGATCTGCACTTATGTAAAAAGACACACTGTAATCAGTGGACTACAGTAGCCTTTGTAGACCTGTGTAGGCAAATGGCTAGGAAAAAGCTGATGGCCACCCTACCTCTATATGGCAAAATGTGAAGGGGCAATCATTACTTTTTAGCACCTTTCAGAAAACAAACTTGGACGATAGGGTTCATTTTAAAGAGATAGGGAAGTGTTCTCGATCGGGTTTTTGCACAAAAGAGCAATTTTTTCACCAGTCGTGACAGAGAAGACAGACGCTGTGTATAGTGCGCACAGGCTCATCGTACAAAGGAAATCCCTCTACTTGCTAGCTCTTTTCAACAAGCAAAATATTAATGAACAGATGACAACAGCTTAACATCCCGTCTTATAAGGACTTCGGCCGTTTCCAGTAGCGTGCATGTCGGGTGAGCGACAACAGCCGGGATTCGAACTCCCAACCTCTTAGTCCAGAGGCAGTTGTATGTTGCAGCATATATCCATTCTCTTCTCTCATAGTCTCGATGAAAAGTGGCCAGCAGGCCGATTTCAATATTTCATCAAAGGGGGGTCCAGACAATGCTCTACGCTAAATTTTGAGAGCTGGCAACGTATTACGCTGAATTCAGGAATCCTCTCGATTACGCTTTACGTTAAATTCCAAGTGGCTACAACGCATTACACACGTTCTTCGCAAAATGCGCTAATTATGCTCTACGTTGAATTAGAGCGGTCCGTCTACGCAAAACATAGAATTTCAACGACCAATTACGCTCTATGGAAAAGGGCATGCGGGCCACCATTAAAAAGCAAAGGCTCAAACAAACAACTCTAGAATCCTGTGCCAACCCGTTTTGTCCTATTATTACTGGCGCCCAGAGGTTTTACATGTGCCACGTCTGTAAGGAAGCCTGGATTTTGGTCCGGCATTTTTTTAGTCTTTTTTGTACTCGCCACTTTGGGACGTGGCAAGGTCTGATCCTAATACCCCATTTTAACCCTCTTCCTCTGTACTGTATTATTCACATTTTTGCCAAAGGACATGAGGATCATTGTTGACGTAACAGAGGATTCTTGATTGGCATGTTTTTTCACCAACCATTTTTTAACAGAAAATCCGACTAAGAACCATTGCCGAGAAGAAAATGAATAATTTCACACTGCAGTGATTCTGACGTATGTATTGCTTTAGTCGTGGTGTTAAAAGGAGATAGATCTTTGTTTGAATCTCAAATTCGTTAATTTTATGTCAAGAGAGGCAAAAACAAGTAGTAGGACATTTTGAATAGAAATGCGTTTCTTGTTTATAGTTCTAACATAAAAATTACCTTTAAATTCAGAATCTGTCTTACTACAAGTCATTGCAATTGGCATTTATAATTTTTATCATTTGTTCGCTGCAAAAATGTTGTCGTGTCCATCGCATCTACGTCACCCTGTTATGTCGTCAGTGATTTGGGGGTGTTTTTCTTTAATTGGTTTACATAAAGGGTGTTTTGTAGCCAATCAGATAGCAGAACGTCATTTGATGCTCCCTTATTTGCATAACCTAATTATCATCTCCGCTGTTACCAGCTACTTGACAGAGAGCGCGTAGTACTGAAGAAGTAGGGGAGAAAGTTACACTGTGGCTCACGAAGACATACGTAACTTACACCGTTGTTTGTAAAGTGACAAGGGACTACGAAAAGTAAGTCTAATGTTTTTTTTTAGCTACTGGTAACGAAAGGGGCATTTTCGAAGATATGATGCATGTTTTAAAATGGATCTTTCTCCAGAAGTGTTTGAAGGATTTGAATTTGATTTTTTTATACATGTGCGTATGGATGCAACGCGAGTTTGTATGCTATTCTGCCACGTACCCTCGTTCAAAAATTACCCACAATCAAAATTATGCTTTCAAGGTATGTTTAGGAATGTCTTGAACGCCTGTATATTTTTACGAGTTCAATACCTCGCAAACTACAGATTAGGTGGGGTCGTGTGGCGTAGAGGCAGAGTGCTTGACTCGGAACCTAGAGGTCCCGGGTTCGAGACCTGCCATGCCACCGATCTTGCGCCATTGGGAAAGGCACTTTACACGACTTTCCTCACATTGCTTAGGTGAAAATGAGTATTGTATTGCCCCTGTGTTGGTGGCGGCATTAATATAAGTTGAAAAAACTTGATTGTGCCGTCACCACGTTTTGTGATTAGATGTTGGAATATTAAAAAAAACATATTTTTTTCTTATTCAAGTGACGATACAATACAGACATATTTTGGGAGGGTAGATAGCATTAGGTCAATATTTTCCTGGGATCGTGATAGCATAGAAGAATTGGATGTTGGTAAATTCAAAGAACTTTTAAATGTGGTGATTTGATCGTGAGAGTTGTCTCTTCGTAGTAGTTAAAAATTCATTATACATAACTCTTGAAATCTGCCGGAAAAAAGCTTGAACAATTTTATTCTAGCTCCACGTTTCAAGAACTCAGTACATACGTAAAGTGTCAATTGATAAATTCTGCAAAAAGCCAGCATGTGCCGTATGTCGTATTGCCGCAAATTCAGCTTTGTATTCCTGTGGCGTAGTAGCATCTTTCTCTTTGGTAGGAATTTTTTTATTCGCCCGCGCGCACTAGTTTGGGGTATTCAGAGGATGTCATCCATGTGCCTAAACAGTAGATGTCTGATAGAAACATTATGCGCATTTATACAGGGTTAATCGGGCATGCAAAATCGAGCTAACTGGTTGTATAACATTGTTCGGGAACCCTCTTCTTACGATTTTATGTCAAAAATTAATTATCAGCTATTCGAAGGTGACTTCGTAAGAAAATATCGTATGTTAGCATAATCATCTGACCACACCAATGATCTAGGTGGCCATCTCTCCCGAACAAGACAGGTGAATTCTGTTCCACACATCGAGTCCCTCAACAAGTCCGTGCACCATGTACATGTAGGCCTGCTTTGATTTGCTTTAAATCAAATTTGATTTATTGAAATTACGACAGTACAAAACTGTACAATATTAGGACAAAGGCAGCTGTTTATGGTGCTGTGTCTCACAATTAGAAACAAATACAGGACAGGGCAATACTAATTTTTTTTTTTGACTTAAGCTGGGAAAGTCGTGTAAAGTGCGTTTTCGAAGGGCACAAGATTGGTGGCATGTCAGGACTCGAACCCGGGACCTCTTGGTTCCGAGACAAGCACTCTGCCGTCGCGCCACAAGGCCCCACTGCTTTGCTAAACGATAAGACCTTCACCTTTAAGTACAAAAGGCATAAATTGTCGACGATGAGCCACGCTGCGTTATTCTATCAAGTCTCCCGAAACACGTGGATATAAAGGGTTCCTCTCACGCAAGTTTCAACCGGCAGGACGTCATGTAATCCCCGTACAGTACGCCGGGATTAACCGGTGTTAGAGCACCTTAAGCCCGCGCCACGTTTGCAAGCTTGTCCCTTTATCCGACTGTTGACGCGTGACAAGACCTACCCATCCTGTTATTATCTGACTTAGTACACGATTACACAAAGGCTTTCGAAACTGTGATTTTACCATTCTTTAAGTAATGACTTCTAATTATCTCGTTGCCTGCCCTTAGTATTGTCCACATCACTGGTAGCATTTGTCAAGATGTCTTCTGTTCATTAATGAGTGTTATTTGAGCATGAAACATTGGTACTGCAGCAGAACGTTCGGTTTTTGTATCTTTTGTTCTGAACATGCTGTGGTCTTGACTTTTTTTAATTATTATTCATTGAAACATAACATTACAAAAACATGGACCCGGTGGGCCTGCACTGCAAGTTTTAAACGTATTTTAACGGCGCCACTCAACATAGAAACACCGCGAGTTGACGTAGCAGATCTATTTTTTTAGTTTTCCTACTTTTTGTGTCTAGATAATATAGACGTCTTGGAAGTATTTGAGAGATAACCGCCCCAGAAGGAGATGGGTCTTCTGGTCTTCTGGCTGCTGCTGTCCGCATGTCTGACGTCAGGACACGGGTATGACATCCTGGACGACATCTTCGGAGTGGATCGACGTAGGTTTTCTTTTATTTACTTAAAGTAATAGTTCACCACAAAACAAGGCTCATGAGAGCCACTTGAATATTTTGGGTTACTGTACAGCCAGTGAGGACAGATGTTTGTTGACATTAGACTTAAAATGTTTAAGCTTAAAGCACGGCTTTGGGGTAAGTTCTCTCGAAACAATCATCCACAATTAAGGTTGTACCCATGTGAGAAACAATCACGTGATAGCTTGGTCCATATAGTGGTGTTTTTCTATAGGAAAAAAATATTTTCAGCGTGGAACTTCCTCCTAAGTGGTGGTGTATGGAGGAAGAAAGGGTGATTTGCTTCAGTGTAAGTGGCAAGACGTGTCCTTGCTGAGAATGTTCGAGGCGGAGGCACTAGCAAGTGAAGTTCCGCGGAGCATTTACCGTGAAAGTAGCTTTAAAATAACGCCAGGCTTGCAACATTACGCCTACATGTATGTGAGACTGGCGGTAGATACAGACATACATCTACACAACACCTCGTCAAAGCCACGGCTAGGGCACCCACCAAGCTAGGATGCGCTAGTTTCCCTTGTTGTTTTTTTAATGTTTTGTAGTATAATCATGTGTAGTTATATGGCAAGAAGCAACGTTGTGGATGACTTTATAGAACAATTACCTGTGACAATTTTCTTTATAGATTTTTTTAACAATACAATTTCCTATCCTATGTTTTTTTTTAGCTGCGAACAGAGTAAAACGACAGGAACAGGACAGTAACCAATGCCTCAGCAACCCTTGTCAGAACGACGGCATCTGTCTAGACGCGGACGGCGAGTACTCGTGTCTCTGCCAGGCTGGCTGGAAAGGAGTCAATTGCGATCAAGGTACGGTTTGCTAGTACTCCAAACTGTCCATCATAATTAGCTGTCCAACCAATGAGAACATGACAATTAGCGGTTCGACCAATCAGAGAGTGCCGTCAGTACTTTGTATTTGCATGTTTTAATTTGTACAGGTTTCTTAATTTGCATGCGTACTGGGACAGGTAGGTCTATGTCATCATGCATGAATGGGGACTGGATCATAAAATGTTTAATTCCTTTAAAATGAATGTAATTATAATCTAATAACAATGACAATAATTATGTATGGTAGCTCACGAATAAACAGTCATGTGGTCTTTAAGTAAAGACAAATGCTCTCATACTACAAAGAGCTTTTTTTAATTCTTATCTTAAAACCGTTGTCCTTCTAAAATTTTGTATACAATATTTTCAGGTCCGATAATAGACCCTTAACGTTTTGCCCTGCGGTTGTGTAGTTACTTCTGCATTCGTTGCATTTCGCTGCGGTGTGATACGTTGCACGAGAAATTATACCCCCAATTCGTACATATACAGGGTGCAGTATAGATGGTACTGTATGTGCAACCCATATATATATACATATATGGGCTCCACGTACAGCACAAAGGTTAAGTCTGTACATTGTCTTCTTCCGGTAGTCCTGACTAGACCAGACAACAAGGGGAAAGAGTTCATGTTTGGATTTCTTCAAAATTTTGACGACACGCCGAAGTTGGAGGTTTTCGTCACCACCTCCAGTGCGACCCCGGTGGAAGTCACCATCTCCGCCCCGGGAGTCAACTTCTTCCACCAGCTGTCAGTCGTCAATGGGGCCATTGTGGTAGGCTATCTTATAAGTTCTGTGTTGGTAGAAGTCATTATGTTTGCCGAAGGAAAACATATTGTTTTTCCTCAATTTCTTCTTCTTCTTCTTCCCCAAACAGTGACCTATGACCTGACCAATGACATGATTTGTTGACGCCTGTCGCCATGGTGACTGGTGTTGGGTTACATAATGTTGCAATTCCATGGTCTGCTCTGCTCCTGTCACCATATACTAGTAGTACATGTATATGAATGTGTTTGAGTGAGAATTAACAGAGCAGACCATATGCGAAGGTTAACATTATGCACTTACTTTGCAAATGTTACCTTTCTAGTTATAAAACAACTTTTCACTGCAATATCCAATACAAGAAATTGGACTCACCCAGATTTTCGACTGTTCAACTCCAGTCTTTGTCAAGGAATAAGCAATCTTCCGCTTCCGTGACGTCATACAGATAATATAATTGACTCCATAGACAGAGACGACGGGGGGGGGCGCCACAGACCTCTTGTAACCTATGATCCACCGTTTACTATTAATTAATACAGCCTTTTAGTTTGGGGTCGGTAAATGTTTAGTAATAATACCCGATTTAGACCATAAGTATTGATAAATTTGTCAAACCTTTCTTTTCCAAGTGATTCTCATAATTTGTAACATGAATAGAATAGAAGATGAACAACATTTTTTTAGACTGTACTTTATATTCTAATGAAATATTTGTCCTTTTTAATCATATCAAAGAGAAGTTCCCATACTTTGAACACCTAAATGCTAACGATGAATTTATATTTTTGATGCGTCTGTATCACAAACATGATGTGTTCTCACTTTTTTCCATTGTACAAAAAAGCGAGAAGAAGTTGACCACCCTGTATTAGCTCAGTAACTAGAACACTTTGTATTAGCCTAGTATAGTGCCCTTGTATGTTCCTTATGTATGTATGTCTAAGTCAAGTAGTATATCTGTTGTCTCCACTTTTCTACATACGTTTGTTATGCATGTGTGTCTGTTAAGTCTTGACCTGTACCTAGCCCGTCCTGGCATGAATGTACAATAAAGTTATTTTGATTTCAATATTCCTCCTGTATTCCAGATCGTGGACGTCCCAGCAGAGCTGCAGCTATTTGCAAGCGAGAAGGCGCGAAAGGGTATATACATCAGCGCAGAATCCGAAGTCATCGTCTACGGCGTCAACAAGTACAGGGCCACGACTGACGGGTTCCTCGCTCTCCCAGTGGATGTTCTCGGCACCGACTACTACGTCGCTTCGTACACGCCAATTTCCTCCACGCTTTATTCCGAATTCGGCATTTTTGGAGTCTCCAATCAAACTAAAGTGACTGTGACGTTGTCGGACGATGCGTATTTCCTAGAGAGGCGTTACGACGCGGGGAGTACCATCGTGTTCACTCTGAACCGGTTTGAGGCGGTGCAGATACGGGGTAGGGGGCCGACTGCCGACCTGACGGGAACCCACGTGGTGTCTGACCAACCGGTGTCCCTGCTGTCCGGAAGCAGGTGCACCAACGTTCCGCAAGGGATCACCGCCTGCGACCACCTGGTGGAACACATTCCGCCCGTCCTCACCTGGGGGCTCAAGTTCGTCACCGTCCCGCTGGCTATGCGGCACGGCGGCGATGTCTTCCGCATCGTCGCTTCCGAGGACGGCACCGACGTAGACGTAGCCGGCGTGGGAAGCCGTACGATGAACGCCGGGCAGTGGTGGGAGCTTGACATCGCCTCAGACGAGCAGCACCTAGTAACAGCATCCGCTCCAGTTATGCTGTTACAGTACAGCAAAGGAAAGGACGCGGACGGAGTCAACAGCGATCCGTTCATGATGTACGTGCCGCCTAATGAGCAGTTTGCCGCCGACTACACTTTCGGAACCGTCGACTCGCCGTCTTCTCCCTACACCAGCTACGTCAACGTCATCATCGACGGGAACAAGACAGCTGGACTGACGCTGGACGGGAAGGATCTCGACGCCGGTACAGTCTGGAGTGAGATCCCGGGTACAGATCTGGTCTCCACGCAACTCAACATCAAAAACGGCACGCACAAGATCAAGCATTTCTCCGCCATCGTGCCCTTTTCCATCTTTTACTACGGGTTCGCGTCGTACGATTCAATAGGTTTTCCTGGCGGTTTCCGGCTGGCCAGTTTCCCCAAAGACTGTAAGAAGATGGAGCCGGTGCCTGGAGACGGAATTGACAATGACTGTGACAGACGTGTGGACGAAGAACTGCTCAACGGAATGTAAGTAACCCATATCTCACTTTTCCCCATTAATCTTAAGGGATATTTTGGCGACGTCTCAGGGAGAAAAAAAAGCCTAATTGTACAGTATTGTGTGCAATTCGCAAGAATTCTAGGAATGACACATCACGATACATCAGGTGTTTCTCGCAGGTGCAGTACGTTCTGCCGACGTGCTTGCTGGACCCACCTTCATGTTGACGTCACTTCAACACACTCTATTGATTGGTTGACATTTCAATTTGATTACCCAGTGACGACGACAATGACGGCCAGATCGACGAAGACATAGCCGACCTCAACCATGACGTCAACGAATGTGACCTGCGATTGGACAACTGTCACCCTGACGCTGACTGCATCAACACGCACGGGTCGTACAAGTGCCGATGTCGGCCTGGCTTCACCGGGGACGGAACGGACTGCTGGGGTGAGTACATCTACACGCAAATAACGGTCCAGAATTCAATGGAAAGCATTGAAAGTGATCTTGATCCAGATTTAGATTTAGATCATTAAAGAGCTGATCTTCCACTGGTCGTGACAGAGAATATGGGTCTTTGGGAGAAGCCATGAATATACAAATTAGAGACGCCATGAGCGTAAAATTTACAGTTTCACTGTGCTGGGAACATTCCACTATTTCTTTTCGACAAATGTACAGTGCGCCACAGTTTAACGCTCCATCTAATGTACTGCAACTCTTTGGAGTAGCATCCATGTCAGATGAGCAATAACAGCCAGGATTTGAACTCCCAACCTCTTGCTCCGGAGGTAACCAAAGGACTACACATTCCACATAGCAAAGTTAAACTTTGTAATAAAGCAAAGTTAAGTTTTGTAATACAAAGATAACATACATTCTTCGTTAGTTTAATAATCTTACTTTTACCAAATTTACCACCCTGTTAGTGAACTCCATAAATAGTTTCATCAGGTTGAAAGATACTTAGGGTATAGAATTTTCTTCTTACACAGCCAGTAAATGTTCTCACCTGCTTTGGCAATAAATAGCGGCGAGTTGCAGAACTCCAGTTAGAAGCTCTGAGGAAGGTGTCTGATAAACATCGAAACGTAAGCAGGTGAGAACCTTTACTGGTTGTGTAAGAAGAAAATTCTATACCCCTGTTATGTGTGAACTGTTTGACTTGATGTTGTTCTCTCCAGACCGTGCTATCTGCCAGGCGTTTGCCGACCCGCATTTCATATCGTTTGACGGGACGCTGCACCACTACCAGGGCCACTGCACCTACACCCTGGCTAAAACCTGTCCGACCAGCATCACTACGGACCTGCCCAGCTTCGACGTGGAGGTTTGTTTGTTTGTTTGTTTGTTACCTCCATCAAAAATGGAGGTATTGTTTTGGGCACGTCTGTCTGTGTGTGTGTCTGTGTGTGTGTCTGTGTGTTTGTGTTTCCGCACATTTGTAGTCAGCATAACTTCATAACGCCTTCATGGATTGTGATGTTTTTGGTATGCTGATAGGTCTTAGGAAGACGAAAGTCAAGGTCAAATATGGGTTTCCTGGTGGATGACCTTGGTACTGCATGGAGGCGCTTTCAGTGTGATTTGGAGCGTTCAGATGCAGCCACTTGAAACCGGCTTCGGGGTAAACCACATGTAAAGCGCCTTGGGTGACTTCACATAAACACGGCCTATTTATCTGTTACTACCTTATGGAATGTGTTGATTGTACCGGTAAACAGGTAAAACTGGAGCCGCGGAGCAACCCTCGTGTCACCTGGGTCAGAGAGGTGTGCGTCACGGTGTTCGATCGCACCATCGTGTTCAAGAAGAACAAAGTCGTTCTAGTAAGTGTCCACTTGTTAAAGAGATATTGTTTATTGTTTATTGAAAAACAAAACCCATGGCAGCCTCACGGCTGAATTGTGAGGTTTGTACACAAGTCGCGAGCACGTTACACGTGCTAGTATTTTATTACATTTTGAAAAATACGTTAAATTGAAATTACTACTTACAACATTTTAGGATAAAATACTTAAATTCGCAGTATAATGGACATTTTAAAAACATTTTTTATCATTCATAATCTTTGAAATACAAATAAACTATAATATTTTGTAGCTGCGACATTTAAGCGAGTTGAAAACAATTCTAAAAGAATGGCATAAGAAAAGACATTCATTCGGATACTATACTTGAATGGGGCACGAAATAACAGCTTATTACACATATTGTGTAAGATTTTCACAATTTTGAACATTGTTGTTTTACACATTTTCTTGCGCTATAAGCCTACCTGTGGGTAATAATGACATTTGGGAAGTAAAAGATCAACGTCGTTGCGCCGCAAAAACGTGTTGTAAAATTGCCAACTCCTCGGCGTTAGCGCAGATCGTGGCCATGTTGTTTGTTTCCATTCTTTTTAGGAGCCTCCTAGAATTATGGCAGTATGGGAGCCCCGGCATACAAATATAATAGTACGAGTACCAAGGCTACCTAAAATACAGCGGGCCTGGCGCAACTTAATTCTCGCACCGGAAAAACGAAATAGCGACGCTAATAGGTTAGAAGTTATTGAGAATGGGTTTAAGAATATTGTTTTTTTTTTACCTTTTTACAGTCGAGTTGTTGAACCTTTAATGGTGAATTTTTCAAAAAGTGTATCATGCCACAATTCAGACGTGTAAGGCTGCAAATATATGTGTGTTCCAAATACTAAACTAGCCTACATTCATCTTGTATATGTTTGTCCTAGCAATAATGAACATGGCTTAAACATGTTCATTTTTATTATATGTGTTATATGTATAGCCATGTGTGAACTTCGCATTAGTGACCATCCCTTACGTATAGAATCCGGCTGGCATAGCCGTACCCCTCTGAAAGATAGAACGTGCGAATTCTGTAATCATTTATATGTTGAAAACGAGATACACTTTCTACTTGACTGTACATTATATAAAGATGAACGCCAAGAATTACTCGATATTTTACATTTACACAAGATATGCAAGAAAATGACATGTTTAAACACTTGATGTCATGCAAGAACGAATGTATAGCAGACAAACTATGTAATTAAGTTTTCAAATGTTTCAAAAAGAGAGAAGAAAGGGCAACTAACAGTAGATGATAGGTAGTATATAGTATTGTTATAATGTATAAATTCCTAGCAATTAGCATCAGAATATAGTCTCCCAGTATGCAATACTCATGTTTTGCATACTGCATGTCCTCTTGTGCATTTAGCCCATCTGGGCATGAACATGCAATGAAGATTCATATCATTATATATTTAAACACAGGTTGAAGGTCTATTCGTCCTTCTGCCGGCCAACCCCCACCCGGAGGTCAGAGTTCGGCAGGTAGGTCGTTACGTCACCATGGAGGCAGACTTCGGACTCCGGGTCTCCTTTGACGGCGTGCACCGCGTGCAGGTCGTCCTGCCGAGCACGTACACGGGCGCCACATGCGGTATCTGCGGGAACTACAACAGAGACACGGCAGACGACTACCTCACACCGGACGGCATACTGGCGGGAAACGTTATCGACTTCGGGGACTCTTGGAGGGTTCCAAAAGAGGGAGAAATGTATGTACAGAGATTTCACCCTTTCCACTAGTGATATAGTCCATCCCCTAAAAAATTATTTCCTCGAAAACTTCCGTTTTAGCATGTCCTCCAAGAACACAAACTTGTATAATTATAATCATAGTATTTCGTTGTACTTTGGGAACTATGCTGTATGTATTCACTGTTTGTTTGTTTGTTTGTTTGTTTGTGAACACAATAACTCAAGAAGGATTTGATGAATTGTCTTGATACTTATTTGGTAGGTGGGTAGGTCTTAATAAAGCATAGAAATGATTAGATTTCGGTTCCCCTGGCGACTTATCATGGTACTGCAACAGAACTTCCGGTTTTGATATCTCGTGATCTAGACATGCTAGGGTCACGAAATTTCCATGGTAGACAGCTTTTGGGCTGGGGATGAAGTGACAGGAGTTTGACCGTCTTTTGGTGTAGATTATGATCAGCACATAATTCATGCAATTGAGGATCCTATTTGCACCATGTGGATTAATCAACAATTTCTTAGTCATAAAGTCTGTTATCATTTGGCGAAGATATGAGATCATGGAACTCTAGTTACTAAATACAATGTGTCGTTTGTATTCTCTCTAGCTGCCAAGAAAGACCGGATCCCCCTGACGACTGTGACGAGGAACTGCAGCTGATCGCGGCTGACATCTGCAGTGTCCTGACGGACCCGACAGGCGTTTTCTCACCCTGCCACCAAGTCATAGACCCAGCGGTAAGATGAAAGTCCGTACTCTCCAAGCAGAGGTTTGGGTTTTGGGGGTATTATAACGGGTTTTTAAGCTTTTTTAACGGAGTTTCATTTTTGCACTGGAATTTGTCTTTCACCCAACCCAACCTCTGCCGGGAGTCGAAATAATCAATGCGCTATAAATCTAATCTCTTCAACACATTACAGTCGTTCTGCAAGTAGGTACGAATCGGACGCATGTATAGGCACAATTAGCAGGCGTGTGTGGCCAAATGAATAGCTTTCTGACTGGCTGGATGTGTAATAATCCACCACAGTAAAATGGAAATCTCCAATGATAATTTAATGGTTCCCGGTGAGGAACACTGTCACGTTTCTTGAATAGGTTTGCCCCGCCCCGGGTTGAGTGTCGGTACGAGCTAAACGTTGTTAGAACAAACGTTGTGGGGTATTCGGCTCAGGACCAAGAGGTCCCGGGTTCGAATCCTACCCATGTCACCAATCTTATGCCCTTGGGAAAGGCGCTTTACACAACTTTTATCACTTGACTTGAATTGGAATGAGTACCTAGCTTCGGTTAGGGACGTCCCGCAGATAGGGCACATACAATTAAAGATACTATACTGTAGTTAAAACTTTAAAATAGATTCTAATCTACTACCACACATTATACCGTGTAGGATTTTGTAGCAATAAAGTTTATTGCTTTTCCACAGTTTATGAGGACAACTTGTGAATATGATGTCTGCTCCATTTTCGAAGACAACACCATAGCACTTTGCGCCAACCTGCAAGCGTACGCAGACACGTGCATAGAAGCAGGCGTCGACCTGGGTGCCTGGAGGAACGAAGACTTGTGCCGTAAGCACTTCATAATGATTACCTACTTAAACAGGGAGGTATTGTTTTGCTCTTTGTGTGTGTGTGTGTGTGTGTGTGTGTGTGTGTGTGTGTGTGTGTGTGTGTGTGTGTGTGTGTGTGTGTGTGTGAGTGAGTGTGCCTGTGTGTGTAACTGTGTGTATCGTTGTGTGTGTGTCTCTCTGTGTGTTGTCGCATACTTGTCGTCAGCGTAGTTAAAAAGGCCTTTTTGGATTATGATTACTTTTGGTATCTATGTAGGTCTTAGGAAGACAAAGGTCAAGGTCAAATGTCGGTGACTGACCTTGGTACTGCAGCGGATCTTTCGGTTATGGTATCTTTTGTCCTGGGCATGGTTTGGTGTTGATTTTTTAAAAATATTTCGATGCACAGGTGGATACTGGATGAGGTTAAAAAAACTATATTTTATACAAACCTGTTTAGTTACCACTGCAAGCTGGCCGTGATATAAGGATATGTATGGGGATATGCAGTATGCACCTTTTCCTTTTCACAGCGTTAACCTGTCCAGACAACAGCGAGTACAACTCCTGCGCGAGCCCCTGCCCGGCCACGTGTGCGGACGTGTCGGCGCCGTTCTACTGCAGTGAGAATGAGTGTGTGGAGAGTTGTGAGTGTAAGACTGGGTATGTCCTGGATGGAGAGACCTGCGTACTGAGGGAGCAGTGTGGGTGCTTCAACGACGGCACATATTATATGGTAGTATATCCCCATTTTTACTAACCAGGTATCCAGTCTATCGTGGTTGGGACATGGTAGTCGGGGCAGACTGTATCTTCGGGGCTCTAGTAGCTAATAGGTACAGGTCAAGACTTAACAGACACATATATACCAAACGTATGTAGAAAAGTGGAGGCAAAAGGTACACTACTTGACTTAGACATACATACATAAGGAACATACAAGGGTACTATACTAGGCTAATACGAAGTGTTATAGTTACTGAGCTAATACAAAGTGGTCAACAGTCTAAAATAAAGTGTTGTTTTCATCTTCTATTCATGTTACAGTATTGACAGAGTCTATTCTGGAGAAGAATGCGGTTGTGCCTTCCCGTTTCAATGTGTAATTTGTGGCAACTTATTCGGAGTTTAGTTGCCCTAAAGCCCATGTGTGCCGCAATGATGGATTGTGACGTCATGAGCCAATTGTCTTATAATATTCATTCTATATTCCCTTCCGTGACACACTGCGTTCTTGAATTTGACTTTGAAGTGTTCCATTTATTCATCCATCCATTTATCCATCCTTTAATCCACCCATCCATCCATTCATCCATCCGTTTAACCATTCATCCGTCCATTCATCAATCCATCCATCTGTTAATCCATCCCTTAATCCATCCATCCATCCGTTCAGATCGGAGACAGATGGACGGAGGACTGTAGCCGTGAGTGTGAGTGTAGCGGGAAGAACGACATCCAGTGTGTGGACATCAGCTGTCACGACGCGGCGTTCTGCGGGACTGTGGACGGGATCCAGGGATGTCACTGCTCCCCGGGATACGTCGGCAACGGGTCGTTCTGCGAATGTAAGTTTCCCGTCATTATATTCATGAATAATAGCTGCATTGTTTTTGTTATGTCTCTGTTCGTGCGTGTTTCCGTGCTTGTGTCTGTTTCCGCACGGTCCTTACAGTTCAGGTTGTAATGGTTCAATATATTTATCTTTTTTCTTTCTTTCTTTCTTTCTTTCTTTCTTTCTTTCTTTCTTTCTTTCTTTCTTTCTTTCTTTCTTTCTTTCGTTCTTTCTTTCGTTCTTTCTTTCTCTCTCTCTCTCTCTTTCTTTCTTCCGTCCCTTCTGTAATTCTTTTTTCATTTCCTTTCCATATTTTCTTTCTTAATTGTAATTGATTACAATTGAAGGTGGTATTAAGTATATTACAAAAACACAACAGCAAAACTAGATTTTAATCAAAGAAAGACGATTAATCACAGACGATTGTTTTTAACTTGAGCTTCCTCTTGCACAGCGTACTTTTAAGTTGACACCAGCCCATACATGGCACCCCTCCGAATTGTTACAATATGTTATAGACGTCTAAAATCTCCGATATGTGTTTTTTTTTACAGTTTACGACCCATGTAATAGCAACCCTTGCCTAAATGGTGGTATCTGTACGGAAGAGGACAACGGTGGGTACAGCTGTGAGTGCGTCGGGCAATGGAGCGGGGCAAACTGCGATGAAGGTAAGAACAATTAGTTTCGAATTCTGAAATGAATCTAAAAACCATCATTATAGGACATTCAATAGATATTTATATAACTTCTACAACTTATCTATGTCACAATAGATTTAATGATACCCAGAGCAAAAAAAAAACGACATGATGCAAAAAAGAAAGCTTTTGTATGCATTGCATATGGTTAAGGACCACAGGGACAGTAGCTAACAGATATGTCAACCTAATATATAATTGTGGATCCAAAAAAGGTCAAAGTCAAAAGGTAGCATTGCCGATTTCTAGCCTGACATATGCATGCTTACTTACTACTTACTTAAACCTCTTCTGAGCCAGCATGGCTCTTAAAGCAGAAAGTATCTCTTCCATCTGGCCAGGTCAGCTGCCATCTTTGGTGCCTCGTCAAGAGTGAAACCATGGCTTCGCACTTCTTTTTCCATAGTTCTTCGTCATGTTTCCTTCGGTCTTCCTCTCAGTCTCCTGCCCTGAGGCGTCCATCTTAGAGCTGTTCTGGTGATGCTTTCTGATGACAGCGTCAAATGTGACCTTTCAATATTTATGTTTATCGAAGGAAAACATTGTTATTGTCTGTTTCTCCTTCATCTTCTTCTCCAAACAAATAAGGTCAATGGCCTGGACCAGACGTCTGTCACCATGGCAGTTTTTAGCAGGAGAGATTTAGACTCCTGTCTCACCATATATATGAATGTTTTTAAATGTGAAGAATTAACAGAGCAGACCATATGAGATGGCAAACGGTATGCATTTGCTTTGCAAATGTTACCTTTCTAGTTTTATTAACATATGTAATATGTAAGGACAGAATCCTAACGCTTGGAATCTCTATGACCAGGGTCCATCTGCAGAGCTACTGGAGACCCCCACTACCACACGTTCGACGGCAGATCGTTTGAGTTCCAGGGTCCGTGCAGGTACACTCTCACCAAGGACATCAGTAACGGCGTCAACTTTAACATAGAGATCCAGAACCGACCGCTGTCTATCTCCCCAGCTGTGGCGGTCGTGCGAGAGATGTACGTGGAAGTGCACGGGTACAGCATCTCAATCATAGGCAGGAACATACAGGTGAGCTATAATAATCAAATCAAATCAACTTTATTGCTCAACAATTGTAGCTGGTACAATGTATGGCAAAAAATCTACAATGGTACATACACAAACTAATACTAAAATATGATTCTAACGAGCTAGTCCATAATGATACTAAAGCTAATCTATTGTGTTTTCTTAGGAAGATATAATAATGAAGAACTTTTTTGGCCCACTTTGCTAAGTACAGGTCACATGATTACAATATTATACAAACGTCTAACGTATATGGTCTTTTTAACTTCCTCTATCTTCTTAGGTATTGTATAAATGTATGAGGCTGTATAAGTAGTTAGCTTTGATTTATCAAATTCTAACAGAAGCATGTTTTTTTCTTTAGTTGTCAAGTTTCCGAAGTGGGGAAATTTTCTTGAAACATTGACCGAAAAGTACGTGTCGCTGTCATATAAAGGACAATCTACTGCAGTAATGCACTTCGTCCTCTACTGTACCTAGACTACAACATTGGCGTATTCTTTGCTTTTGAGGAGTACTAGTGTGATTATGTTTTCCTGATCCGATTAGCAATCTGTGACAAGTGAGTCTCAACAGTTAAAGTCCTCCCCGCAATCATTAGCATGGTCGAATATGACAGCACACATCTCCGTTTCGTAGCCCGTGGGTCACACAGCAGGGGGCTAGTCCGCAGGTAGTGGTATGCTTGAACACTATTTCAAAGATTGCTAAGCACAAGAAGCAGTATATACGGTTTTAAGTCGTTGATATGACTCGGTCAGGAATCAAACTCACGACCTATACTCAATGCAAGGTGAGTACTTTAGTTGCTTAGCCATTGAACCAGTGCACTCACTTTCTCTCTCCAATAACCCACCTCTCGTGAGATTATTATTCACCACTGGTGACGTTCTTGCAACATAAGCAACATGAAATGGAGACATCTGATTGGTTGGTTGGCTGTATGATAATTAAATTTACAATGAAAATGGGTTCTTTGATTGTTTGCAGGTTGACGGCATAAACCACACCCCACCTGCCATTCTTGGAGACGGAGAGGTCAAGATCTTCATATCCGGTCGTTTTATCGTGGTGGAAGCAGATTTCGGTCTAGAGGCGTCCTTTGATGGACAACATTACGCAATGGTAAAGTCTTTCTTTGTAAAAGCTACTACTTGAGCTATCGGTCTTTTTGTTTACGATGTCAGTCACTTAAGGCCCAGTAACACATTGACGACCATCCCCTGGCCGAATTTGGTCTAAAATATCAGTCGACCAGATTCGGCCATCATTATTCTAACCGACTCGAAACCAATTTTAGTCAAATGTGAGTCAAATTTGACTTGAGACACTCCCCCAAAAGTGCCGGTTTACTCCTAAATTGTTGGCTGGTGTTTTGCTTATTTGTAGCCAAATACCAGCCAAGCATGGTAGAGCCTGCAACCAAACAATCTTTTACTGGACATTACGGAACAATAATTGGACTGAACAATTTGTACTTTTTTGTAACTATCATTATTTATCAATGAATTTTGTAAGTATGTTTCTAAATGTTTCAAAAAGACAGAAGGAGCCAACAGAACTTAGATCGATACCACTATATATATGTACATATATATACATTTCTTTCTCGTACATTGTACTTTGTACATCCATGCATTTATCCCCCCGGGGAATAAACATGGAATAAAGTTTCCTTTTTTCATTATTATTATTTATTAATGTTACTGGCTAGTTACTGTTTTTTCTTTCCTATTATTGCCATTATCATTTATCTATTGTATCTCACTTTACTATTTGTATGTGACTGTTGTGTTTTGTTGTGTAAAACAGGGCCCCATTGAAAAGTGTGTAATCACGTAATGGGCCACCCTGTATAAAAATGACGGAAAATAAAATAAAAACATGTATTACTGTTGTATGCAGGTGTTTGTTCCCGGGTCGTATGCCGGACTTACCCGAGGTCTCTGCGGCATCCTGAATGGCAACCCGATGGACGACTCCCTAACATCCGGAAACACGCTGGCCAGGGACTGGAATGACTTCGGGCTTAGCTGGCTGGTCAGTCAGTCAAGGCAAGTCACGATGCTAATGCTAAGTTTACATTTCCAAACCGGGGCCCTGCCGGGCAGCTTTAGGGGACGAAAAGGACGAACTAAAAGATAAGAGAACGCGTACAGTTTCATAAACTAATCATAATGTGCTATTTGTGTGATATAATTTTTCGTTGATGAAAACAGCCCGGCCGGGCTCTCGTTCGGAAATGTGACCTCAGCATAAGAAAGTCAACCTGTGCAATATGTTAACTTCGTTGCAATTGTATAATTTCTTTAAAAATATATAAATTTGTCAAACACCTTCCCTTGTATATATTGGTGTGCCAAACTCCAAAACTTCTATAGCACTTTGGCCACACAGGACAACAAAAATTTAAAACTAGGAATAAGGACGACTCGGACCATTACCAAGTTGGCCCATTGCAAATCGGGTCAACTCGGCCCACCGCTCTGGTCAACTGGCCCAACCACCAAATGTCCACAAAATATAGTATATTACGTAGCACAGTATTAACATGATTCGAATCTGTAATGGTGGGTTACTGTATAGTGTTTTGCTTTCTTTACACATATTTCTAAAAAAAAGCTTATAGTCATGAATTTGGTGTTTATACAAACAGCAATTGATAAAAAAAATTACTATGATTACTATCATTAATTTGACATGAATCTTTATTGCATGTTCTTGCCCAGATGGGCTAAATGCACAAGAGGACATGCAGTATGCAAAACATTAGTATTGCATACTGGAACGCTATTTTAATGCCAACACAGATGAGCTTTCATCATATTAAGTAAAAAACATTGTTCTTTTCCAGCTGTCCTGAGAAGATGGTGCCCCATCCCAGCCCAAGTTGTGACGCGATTGAGGACACCGTGTCGGGCGAGACAGCCTGCGGGCTCCTTACTCTCTCTGACGGGCCGTTCCGATCCTGCCATCACGTCATCGACCCCGTGGGTTACTTCGACGACTGTGTGTTTGACATGTGCCACTGGCAAGGCGTGAAGGGACTATGTGAGAATCTGGAGACGTACGCCGATGTGTGTAAGGATGCGGGCGTGCCACCCTTGCTCTGGAGAACACAGGAACTATGTCGTAAGTAAATTGAACATAATAATTTTCTAGCCAGCAGTTCTTTATAATACTCTGCCAGACACAGTAACCGTTGACCATATATGTAGCATTATAATAGACTCATGCCAACTAGTAATCTTATTATTTGTCATACATTGTACCCGTGACAATCGTTGTGCAATAAACTTTGACTTGACTTGACATAATTACCATGGACGTCCAGCAGTGTTAGTAGTAATCATAGTACGATGCTAAATTTAACTCCAGCACAAGAGTACACGAGAATCAAATTTTGAACCGGCTGGGGTGCCCTGATTTATAAAACTGAACCTAATGTTTTATATATGAATCAACAGAATTAAACTACGTATGATTTCTCACAAAATAAAATGCCATTAACCAGAGGAAACATTTTATCTCTATCATGCCTTCATCAAGTAATTACCAATCACTTCCGAACGTAAGTCCGCCATAATAACTGATACGTGACCTTATTCACCATACTTCACGGATACAGTTGGTTAAAGGAAGTTTGTAACGAAAGTTTTCTGATAGAAAATGTACTTTTCTTCGTAGCTTTGCAGTGCCCACAGTACAGTCGGTACTCCCCCTGTACCAGTGGCTGCCCTGCTACCTGCTCCGACCCGGAGGGCCCGCGAGGCTGTGACCGGCCGTGCGCGGAGGGGTGCGCGTGTCTGCCGGGATACATCCGGAGTGGCGAGGAGTGCGTCCCCGCGGACGAGTGTGGATGCAGCAGAGATGGGCGATATTTCAAGGTAAGGCCACAGCAAGTAAATTTTATGGATGATATTAGCACGCGCATTGATTTTTGCCTGATTCTGAAAAAAAAAGGAAATTAGTATCCCTCTGACGGTGGTCAACATGCTGAAAATGGGCAAATGGCATGTCTTGAGATGTTTTGATTTTGTGCGGGTTGAGACTTTTGGACAAGAAAGCGTCCGATAGAGCGGTCGTTAAAATTGTATAACGACTCAAATCAAGGCTATGCCTTTTTTTTTACAGAAAAATACAATTATTTATCATATTAACCAGCAAATATTTGCCTACCGTAAATGCAGTTCGAAAGAAACCGAAGGAAAACATATTGTTTTTACTACGTTTCTTCTTCTTCTGTTCCAAACACTAACCTCTGACCTGGCTAATGGCCTGATTTGTTGATGTCTGTCCCCATGGTAACTGGTGTTACATAATGTTGCAGTTTTGTAGGAAGGATGTAGACTCCTGTCTGACCATACATATAGATGTACATGTATTTAAATAAGAAGAGCAAACCACATGCGAAGGTAAACATTATTCATTTGCTTTGCAAATGTTACCTTTCTAGTAAACTTAAAGTTTGCTTAACTGTTTTTCAGATAGGAGAGTCGTGGGGAGTTGGCTGTGACGTGGTGTGTGAGTGTGTGAGCACCGACAATATACAATGCAGAGAGGTGCAGTGTCACGAAAACGCCTGGTGCGGAGTCCAGCACGGCAGGCAGGGGTGTCACTGTAACAACGGTTACAGCGGGGACGGTGTCACCTGTGAAGGTTAGTAGATTAATTAGCCTTACTGTCAATCACAATTAGCAGTTTGACCAATGATAGCATGATAATTAGCGGGTGTGTAGTCCAGCACGGCAGACAGGGATGTCACTGTAACAACGGTTACAGCGGGGACGGTGTCACCTGTGAAGGTGGGTAACCTTACTGTCAATCACAATTAGCAGTTCAACCAATGATTGCATGATAATTAGCGGGAGTGGAGTCCAGCACGGCAGACAGGGATGTCACTGTAACAAAGGTTACATCGGGGACGGTGTCACCTGTGAAGGTGGGTAGCCTTACTGTCAATCACAATTAACAGTTCAACCAATGATTGCATGATAATTAGCGGGAGTGGAGTCCAGCACGGCAGACAGGGATGTCACTGTAACAAAGGTTACATCGGGGACGGTGTCACCTATGAAGGTGGGTAGCCTTACTGTCAATCACAATTAACAGTTCAACCAATGATTGCATGATAATTAGCGGGAGTGGAGTCCAGCACGGCAGACAGGGATGTCACTGTAACAAAGGTTACAGCGGGGACGGTGTCACCTGTGAAGGTGGGTAGCCTTACTGTCAATCACAATTAACAGTTCAACCAATGATAGCATGGTTACTATCGGTTTGGCCAATGAGAGAGCGGCTAAAGTCGGTGGAACGGCTCCTGCGAAAGTAAGTAGAACCCTTTCTGTCAATTACAATTTTCAATTTAGCCAATCGATAGTATTGTAATTAGTGGTTTGGCCAATAGGAGAGCGGCTGCACGTTCTTGTGAAATATTTGTATTTTATTTTGCATATTTTTACGGAGGTTAAGGGGTATTATCCTTTGCAAGGGTAGACCAAATCAAGTTACCATCTTGTCCAGTCTCTTTGTTTAGGCGATGTTCTTTATTTCTTCTTTTGATTTCTGATTCAGCAATCAATTGAAGATACCTTTAGAAGGTGACAGATGGTCACAACGACGTTTGCCGAATAAAGCTCTTTGATCTATAAATGAGTTAAATTGAACTTTATTGAACTTCAAAAATCGTACATGGTACAATGTGTGCCATAAGACAACAATACTACAAAACTAAAGTATCTAATTGCATTTCTTATTACATACTTCTATCTATGTAGTTACAATATGGTCATGTATTGGTGATATGGTGTCGGTTATGAAATAAAGTGTACAGAAATTGGCCTACGTAAGCAGATATGGTAGTTGGACATGGCAATAATTTGGTGAACTTTGTCTTTGTAGTAATAGTCTGCAACAATGTATCTCTTTCTTTTCTATAGGTGGGACAAGTCATAACAAAGCTTACCACCCTGAGGAAACTATTCACGAACATGTTAAAGTGGATGACTATAATTTAGTTTTTATTGTTCTTTGCAGCGACGGCAATTTGCAGGGCTTCAGGCGATCCTCACCACAGAACATACGACAACCGCGTTCACTGGTTCCAGGGCCCGTGTATGTACACCCTAACCCGGGACCTGGGACAAGACTCCAAGTTTAACGTGGAGGTACAGAACGAGCCACTGCCCTGGCTGACAAGCCTTTCCGTGGTGAGAGAAGTGTACGTGGAAGCTTACTTTTACCGCATCGGGATACTTCAGCGCAAGATTGTGACGGTGAGTGTGCTACCTCTTTTAAATAAAAAAGTTACAGTCATGTGTGTGTGTGTGTGTTTGTTTGTGTGTGTGCGTGTGTGTGCGTGTGCACGTGTGCGTGTGTGTGTGTGTGTGTGCGTGTGTGTGTGTGTGTGTGTGTGCGAGTGTGTGTACGTGTGCGTGTGTGTGTGTGTGTGTGTGTGTGTGTGTGTTATTGTTTGCGTGTTTGTGTTTCCGGATATTTGTGGTCATCATGACTTACGAGTGTCTGGATAGATAGTGAGGATATTAAGTCTGAGTAGGTCTAGAGAAGACAAAGGTCATTATTGATATGGGTCTCCGGGAGGATTTCATCGCATGTTATTCTTATTATTCTTCTTATTATTATTATGTAATAAGATATGTAAAGATTTGAGTTATATAAACAGTCATGATTCACAAACACGTAGACTTAAATTTTGCAGAAGCTAACACAAACATAGTTGGATGATTGAGATGTCACCATAAACTCAAAAGACGTTCAGTGGTTAAACATTGACATTATTCTTTATTGATGATTACTAGTGCCTTTGAACTAATTTTTTTTTTATCTTTCGCAAATATATGTAGGTAAATGATGAAATCTACTCGTTGCCCTTTCGTCTGGCCGGCGGAAGGATACAAGTTCGGCTGAGCGGTCGGTTTGTCCTGGTCCAGTTAGACATCGGCGTGAAGGTTTACTACGATGGATATCACTACTCCAAGGTAGGCTGGTGAATCCATATCCTGCTGCTGCTTCAGCCTTGGAAAAGATGTTGTGTTTCCTGCTTTAGTCCTTTTAAAAACTGGGTAGGTAGGTAGGATTTTTTTCTCTTCTTTCTTTCTTCCTTTCTTTCTTTCTTTCTTTCTTTCTTTCTTTCTTTCTTTCTTTCTTCCTTTCGTTCTTTCTTTCTTTCTTTCTTTCTTTCTTTCTTTTTTCTTAGACTTGGTCGATCTTCAAGTATTGACATGCATGAGAATACTTGTATTTTCAATGTCAATGTTGAAGATCCAATTGTACAATGTTTCATCACTCAGATGTAAGATCCTGGATATAGAAAGTTTATGTCCATTGTAGGGATCCACGAACAAGGGCTAGAGCTACAGTTTTTCCTAGGGTCGGTCTGGAAACAGGAAGCACAACATTTTTTTTCTATTCCATTCTTGGAACAGTACTGAAAGTCTTATACAGCTCTCTCATTTTAAACAAGTACGGTATTAAATAAAAGCATGCGTCTTTATAATCGTTTGATGACCTACAACTGATAAGATCGCGCCCCAAACGTCTGGAAATGATTTGACGTTCCTGATACTACAGGTTAAATTTTGAAGGTCGCAGTACACAGTATTTATGGGCAGACCCCGTAGTCAAAAGAAATCACGTTTCTTGTCGGCTCTATTAATTGGACAGATTTGACTTGACTTTATTGGGATCCACAGCTTACAACAAATGTAGCTATTCTTTCTGTGGTCCTTCAAGACACAAATGACACATTTACAAAACATAAATACATTGGCAATTACAACACATGTTCCCCCATCCGTAACCCTCTTCTATGGGTCCTCACTTCTTACCCCCTACCTACCCTCCGACTCATCTTCATTCGTCGTCGCCACCTCTAGTGAGCGGTTGAGTTTGTACTTCGCTCCGTGGACTTCGTTCCCTGTGTTGAGGTCGACTCTTTCTCTCCGTTGAGGCTTTCTTACATTGACCGCCGCCATGCCTACCCACGTGTCTGTCTAGTTTGTGAATAGACAGAAAACTTAGTTCTCTTCAGAGTTTACGAAGAAGAGAAGTACGACTGAGAATTTGAGAAAGCTGCCTAGATTCTTTACTGTAGGATAGCAAGGTGAACACTATGCAGAATTGTAGAGGAATGCATCGGGTTAATGCCGTATTATTTGGATTAGGATATTTGTTCGGCCGAGGTCAATGTTTTTCGCGCCTGTATCCTGCCACGACTTAGTACTGTGCGTCGTCTGCAGTTTCCATGACCCCCGCAAAGCGCCAAATAAAAGTGTCCGTGCAGGAGAACGAGTCGACAAACTTGAGCTGATTTTCACTTATTTTGTATGGTGTACCCTCAACCCAAGCATATTGTTACTTGCTTGTGCACCCTATTATATAAATTTTACTGCATCGAACCTTCTCACTTTGGGCTTTTTAACTATAGAAATCCCCATAGGGCGAAAATTGTGCACGGCTACCTTCAAGTTGTAACGCGTCTCGATGTAAACGTAATTAACGCCCCCTACCCCGGTACTGCAGGTTGTACTTCCAGCGGAGTACCAAGACCAGGTGGGCGGTCTGTGCGGGAACTACAACAACGACCCAAGCGACGACTTCATGATGCCCTCCGGGATCACTTCATCCGACCTGAACTTCTTTGGGCAGAGCTGGATCGTAGATGCATCAACGTATGTGTAATGTTTCATGGAGACAATATCTAACAAACAAACAAACAAACAAAGAAAAAAAAACTCTATTGTTCTCTCCAGCCCATTTCATCTGTAGTCCGACGACGTAGACTTGACCTGGCAGGGCATGTTGTTCGTAGTAACGAACCAGCTGGTAGACTAGTACAGTGGCTTCCTACTGGGGGACGCAGAGTGGGACGTCCTTATGTCCATGTTAGAGAAAGACAATGGTCTCACAGGGCCTGCATTAGTGTCCGCCATGAGAGATAGGACATGATGGAGTACGTAACTCTATCAAGTGTACCTCACCGGATTAGTGTAATCCGGAGGCATGATGATGATGTGTAAAGAGGCCAGAGAAAAAAAAATAGCTACTATGTTTGAAGCCGCCAATTACGATACATTTTACGACTAAATTTATTCATCTCTATCCATACGTTGTTCACTGTTGATGTAGTAAAAAGGCGTAGCCATGCTTCGCTTGCGATCTTTTGCCAATGGTCACAAAACTGGTCGAATTAAGTAAAGAAAAAGTGGTGCCATTCTTTACCGCATGCATGTCAATGCTAATAAAATATCACAAAATATCTATTTTCCATTATTAAGAGCCCAAAGTTGATTGCGATTCTGTCCAGTCTTGTGAACAATTATTTGAGTCACACATCGTCATCGCATTAATTCACCAATGTTATTATTTTTTTTGTTAGCTGCAAAGACAGTATCTAATTGGCCAGAGTCCAGGTACAAACCATTTGCTCGTAAAAAATATATAAGCAGAAAAAGAGAGAGACAAAAGAGAGAAAAAAACACGCCCAAACACGCCAAAAATAAGCCAAAGTCTACACCTCTGTTATTCTTATCTTGGCCGCCGGTCAGTTTTTTTTAAACATTTCTTGTTTCTTTACCATCGGTTTATCGGTTGCAGTTGTCCAGGTGGCGAGGTTGGCCCCATCCCTGATCCTCCCAGCTGTAACCCACGTGTTCAGGCGGCAGCTGAAGCAGCTGACAGGTGCGGCCTGATCACAGATGTCGACGGTCCGTTTGCCAGCTGTCACGCCGCGGTGGATCCACAGTCTTTCTACGACGACTGCGTGTTCGACATCTGCGCACGGGACGGGGATGTCCTCGGCCTTTGCCAGACCCTGGAGGTTTACTCTGACACGTGTACGGATAACGGCGTGGCGCCATTTTCATGGAGGGCCAGCAACAGATGCCGTGAGTTTTTCTTTCACAATTATATTTACACTGCGGGAAATTTGAAATTTATCACTTAGATTTTTACCTCCGGGGGAGGAGACATCCTTCCGCGGAAGGGTTTTGTGAAAGATTAAGATTTTCATGTTCGCAGCTGTTTCTCGAGTTTGGGTGGACGGATTCTTTTGAGACTCGGTGTATGTTTTGCTATTGGGCTGTAGATGATGCACGTTCTTTTATTTTTGTTGTATATGTGTTTTCGGGCGTGAAAATGGTGCCTTTTGGTGGCCCCAAAACACCCCTTTGAGCGTGAAAGTGGTCGCGACCGTTGACCTTTGGCGTGTTTAAGCTATTCTCGGTCTGGTCCACGTATATGACCCCTCACACAGAGGGGTGTCCGGTCTCGATAAATTCTTTCTTTTAAACCCTATAGAAATATATAATAAAAAGCCCGGAGGTATGAAATCTCAAATTTTACTTGTTATTTTTATTATCAGACTTACAAGGGATTCATCACTGGGAGTGATTCAAAGATGCACATTTTCAAATAAGCTAGGACATGACCTGTATAATCTTAAATAACAGCTTGAGAAAGATATGCAAGGCTCACTTTACAAAAATTGGTATCTTTCGAAAGCAAATAACATACACATAATATTGACACTGGCAACGTTCATCTTCTAAAGTATAAATTACCGAACTTTCTTGATATTAAATTTTATTAATATGACCAGTCCCCATCAAGTCAGAAAGGCCATTCACAAGTCATGATCGTTTTGTTTAACTTGTATATGATTGTGATGGTTATGTATGTTCATTCTCTTTTAATTTTGTTGTCAGTATGTTAGTATGTTCATATGTTGGACCCTGGAAGACTAGCCATGGACCAAAAGGTATCGAAATAAACGAATAAACGGAACAAATTAAATATAAACGCATGAACAATGTTAACCTAATGGGTTAAAATACGATAAAGCATAACTATACAGGATCTTTCAGACGACATCCATTACCTTTATTAAAATAATCCACTGTTAGGCTAGGATTTATATTTCATTTGTCTGCTATCTTGACTGTGCAGCCGGAGAATGTCCACCAGACAGCACGTTCTATGCCTGTACGAGCCCATGTCCTGCAACCTGCTCGGATCCCGACGCTCCGAACAACTGCCCGGAGCAATGTGTGGAAGGCTGCGCCTGTAATCCCGGCTTCGTACTGAGTGGACAGAGCTGCGTCCCAGAGGAAGAGTGCGGATGTACCAACAAGGACGATCGCTACTTTCTGGTTGGTGTAACAATCTTAACCCCTTCTTGAGTGTGATTCTGCATGTCAGTTAACTCCCCAATGACTCTGAATTTTAACTTCATTATGTGTAATACTATAAACTTTTGGATTTTAAAATAATGAAATGTACATTGATTCGCAATTTAGTAGCTTGTATTAAGTTTACTGCAATTAAACAATAAATATTTCTTGAGTCTTGATGTCAATCTCACCCACGTACTATCAACCAACCCGCTGTGCCCAAACAAACAGATAAACGTTAACTACAACTCAGTCACTCAAAAAAATACAAGGCGCAGGGGTTGATTTCTTACTATCATTAAATGATGACCGTAAATGTCCTGGGGTCGTGTGGCTTAGCGGCAGAGTGAGCAACTCGGAACCAAGAGGTCCTGGGTTCGAGTCCTAACATGCCACCGATCTTGTGCCATTGGGAAAGGCACTTAATTACACGGCTTTCCCCACTTCGCACAGGTGAAAATGAGTATTGTCCTGTCATGTATTTGTCCCCTGTGTTGGTGGCGGCACTAATATGTCTGGTGATTACATGTTGGAATAATAATAATAAAAAAAAATGTTCCAAGAAAATTAAATCTAAAAATCAAGTTTTGCTGCTTTAAAATAGCTTTGGGTCCTTTTTTAACATATGTCTTACGTGCATGTGTAGCTGGGAGAACGCTGGGGAGCTGACCGGTACGACTGCGTCTGTACCCCGGGAAACAACATCACATGTGAGCCGCTGGAGTGTAACCCTGAGGAAGGCTACGACTGGATGATTCTGGACGGTGTCTATGGATGTATCTGTGTAGACGACCGCTGCGCTGGTACGGACGAACGACCCATTTTAACTTCCTGAAGCTCTCTTTTTCAAATTTTGAAATGAAGTATCATTCCCTTTCTTGAAGCATCTTTCTCTTCGCTTGGTTGGTTGGTTGGTTGGTTGATTGTTTGATTGATTGATTAATTCGTTTGACTTGACGTTACGTAAAGCTCCTGTCACACATTGAGATGTAATATCATTCCCTTTCTTAAAGCGTCTTTCTCATGGTTTGGTTGTTTGATTAATTGATTGATTGATTTGTTTGAATTGACGTTATGTAAAGCTCCTGTCAAACATTGAGATAAAATATCATTCCCTTTCTTGAAGCATCTTTATTATGGCTCGATTGGTTGATTGATTGATTGATTGATTGATTGAGTGGTTGATTGATTGATTGATTGGTTGTTTTATTTGTTTGACTTGACGTTACGTAAAGCTTCTGTCACACATTGGGAACCTTCCCTCGGACAACAACCGTCCAAGGACGGCAAAATTCAGGAGCATTCTGACCAAATTTAGTTAAATTGAATTAAAAAAAAAATGACTTCCATTTACGCCTTGACCACTGATGAACTATGTCATCAACCAACCAGCCATCCAGCCAAAACCGACCTTGCTTACGATTCACTCCATTTATACGATTCACTCCATATTGGGGGATTTTAGCTTTTTTTTAGGTAGGCCACATTCGCCTATGTGTAACAGAGACTTTTCATAGGTATATTGATGGCGGATCTGCATCAGCGGCAAAATGCTTTTTTTCCATGTTCTACTGTTTGTTCGTGATCTGTTATAACTATTTGTTCCCCGTTATGACACCGTTTCCAGAATGTGAGGACGACTGTTCAGACCACGCAACCTGCCGCCTGATAGACCTGCAGCCCACCTGTGTCTGTGATGACGGCTATGAAGGGGACGGCTTGACTTGCGAAAGTAAGAGAAAGACTTTCCTTGGTTTTTTTATCATTGTCTCCCTATCTCTCTACTTATTTATTTTTATAGTTTGATCCATTTACATAATATTATGTTATTCTGAGCTACATTGCTTGCTTTCATCTTGAACAATTCAGTACTTCTAAGTTTTTGCTGTCCTGATTAAGTATTAGGTTAAGTATTTGATTAGGTAAATTTAAACGGCCAATTAGCCCTAAGGTAGAAAAAGCTAAACCAACACTAAAATTTTTGTTAATATGCATACCAACATATAACTTCTTTTGACAGGATATCCCTGTTAACTAAACGTTACAATAAAATGATTAAGGCGTTTCGTAAAAAATAAAGGAGAGTATCATTTTTACCAAGGATCATATATTGTTTTTCCTCTGCTTCTTCTTCTTCTCCGAACGAAAAAGGTCAACGAATCATCTGTCACAATGTTGGGTTACACCATGTTGCAATTTTATAGTAGGAGGGATTTAGACTCCTGTCTGACCATATTATTATGAATGTGCTTGAGTAAGAATTGACAGAACAGGCCATATGCGAAGGTAAATATTATGCATTTGCTTGAAAATGTTACCTGTCTGGTTTACCTTCTCAATTATGTTTACCGAAGGAAAACATATTGTTTTTACTGAGTTTCTTCCTCCTCTTCTGTTCCAAACACTAACCTCTGACCTGGCAGATGACATGATTTGTCGACGTCTGCCATCACGGTGACTGGTGTTGGGTTACATAATGTTGCAATTTCATGGTTTGCTCTACTCCTGTCACCATATACTCGTAGTACATGTATGTGAATGTGTTTGAGTATAAATTAACAGGGCAGACCAAGTCCGACGGTAAACATTATGCATTTGCTTTGCAAATGTCACTTCTATATAGTAGTTAAATCATTTATTTTTAATCTTCCAGATATTGACGACTGCGACCCTAACCCTTGTCAGAACGGAGGCACCTGTACTGACGGCGTCGATTCCTTCACTTGTGACTGCATCATCGGCTTCGAGGGGTACACGTGTAGAATATGTACGTTCCTGTCCTTCAATCCTTTTTTTAACGTAGTAGTTCAATGCAAGGCCTACTCGACCACTTCTCGGCATTGAACTAAAAAGATGAGAGAAACATGGCTATGTCAAGATATGGCGGTGAACGTAAGATTTGAAAGCCTGTAGATTGTAGGTTGGTGGGAAACACTTGTCAGGGAGGGAATTCCAAAGCTTGGCTGTACGGGGAAAGAAAATGTCACTGCAAAAATATTTCGAACAAGGAATTTGGACGGTAAAGTTGTGTGAGCTAGTTGAGAACGTAGTGGAACGCTTAAAAGTTCTGAGTGGTGGAACTAATTGAGTGAGTTCTGCAGAGCAATGACCATAAAATATCTGTAAAAGAGGGATAGAGAGGGAACATTTCGTCTATGTAAAAGGTGATCTAACTTGGAGGCCAGAGGATAGCCTATTACACAAATGGCTGGGGCAACGTTACAATTTTTCTCAAGTTAAAACTTATCTTGCATACACATCACAACCATATCAGAGATATTGCTACCCAATGTTGTAATTTTAAGTAAAACAAATGGGGTGTTTTACTTCACAGATATCTATTTGACGGACGAATATATCAGTCAAATAAAGCTTTCAGCGCCTAATGTATCCATTCGATATGTGTTTGTGTTAAAAATTACATTGTTATTATAACTTAAGATACTCTTAGTAGAAGGTCTAGTTTGAAAATTGTTGCGGTTAGTTTGTAATGAAACGGTCTACTATCTCACATGGATTTTCTTAAATACCATTTTGGCAATGAAATAATGCAAATATGCATTTTTTTGTCTTCAGATGTTGGCAAGTGCGACCCCAATCCGTGTCAAAATGGAGGGAACTGTACCGAGGGCCAGGATTCGTTTGAATGCGCCTGCGGAGTAGGATTCCTCGGCATTTTCTGTGAAACAAGTAAGCAGTCGCCCTTACTTCAGTCGAATTATAGCCAATATTCCATAAATATGTATAGAATAAGTAACATAATACCAATGATCCAGGCTAGTATAATAATATGATAATGGCAAAAAACACAAAAGAACATTTAATTTTGTTTTTAAACTGCATAAAGTATAGGGGATTCATTCCTCAAGCTAACGGACATCTTGCACACGCAGTCGTCCCTCAGGTAGACATCTGGAGCCGCAAAGTTCCCATTTAGAAATTTTATTCAGCCTGTCACACTATGCACTGGAAAGGTATATAAGTGTGAATTTCATGCACTTGTGTCATTAGTCTCTGTACACTTGGAGAAGCCGCACAGGCGAAACCAGTCGTGTGAAGTAGGCTCCAGATGTCTTACTGAGGGACATCTGTGTGTGCAAGGTGTCGGTTAGCTTGAGGAAACAAATTAATCCCATTTACTTTATATTTGTTATCAAACTGTATCACAATCTAGCTAGCCTGAAACTAACGCCAAAACCACTTGGTCTGAAGGTCCAAAGTCAGTTGGTAGCTTGATACTTGATACTTTAGTCGCACAGATTTTTGTGCGACTAATCTTCCTGGATTCCAACAATAACACAAGACGAAACATTTCACAGACTTCACAGTCATGTAAAACCGACATTTGGCTTCTACACCACTATCCTTCTACACAAATTTTCATCCCACACATGCTTTATAATCATTAAAAATGACATTCGACTTTTACACAGTTTCAATAAAAATAATTACAACTTATATTACATTGATACGCTTTTACTTGAGTTACATAGGACCTCGTAGCACTGACAGCGTTTGAAGAAAAATGGGGGCTTGACTGGAAATAAGGTTTTCTGACATTTCTAACAAAATCTCCACATTATTTTGATTCAGATATTGATGACTGTGACCCGAACCCATGTCTAAACGGAGGTAACTGTACGGACGAGGTGAATGACTACACCTGTGACTGTGTAGCAGGGTATATAGGTGATCAGTGCGAAACAGGTACGTGGTTTTCTCTGGTTGTCGTGGTTTTCTAACATTAAGTGAGGTGGCGTCGGGTGGCGTAGTGGTAGAGCGTTCGACTATGAACCGGGGTGACCCGGGTTAGATCCCGAGTTGTACCCGAGACATGTCTGGACATGCGCCCCGACATAGTGCCCTTGGGAAAGGCATTTTACACAACCTTCCTCACTCCAGCCAGGTGTGAATGGGTACCTAACTTCGGTTGGGGAAGGTCTTATTGAGGTCACCTGTTGGCGCCGAATGTGTAACCATGTGTGTTATTTGATTGTTGTGATTTGTATTGATTATCACCTGATACCCTGCATCAATACAGCCGTATAAAGGCTGCACTGCACGGGTACTGTTTGTTTGCTAATTTTCCTAAGTTAGCAAACACTCCTTCAGTAAAAGAAAATTGTAAAAATTCTTATTGTCTTGATTTATTACGTTTATGTGCTAAAGGGGTTATTGTAAATTGATCTCTTTTAGCACATATACATAAATCAAAACAATAAGAAGTTTTCCAAATTCTTCTTACTGAAAGGGGTGTTAACTAACTTCGTGAGGTTAGTTGAACTGAACTGAAGTGTGGAGTGTAAATATAAATTTCTGTCGTGATTTTTTTGTCTCTTTGTCATTCAGATGTTGATGACTGTGCCTCTAACCCATGTCTAAACGGCGGTTCATGCCTTGACGGTGTCAACTCCTTCTCTTGCGATTGTGTGCCTGGATTTGAGGGGGTTCTTTGCGAAACAAGTACGTGCAATGTTTTTACATATTTTTGTCGTTCGTTTCTTCAAGCCTATGTAAAACTAACGTTTTTAAAATACATTTTGTAATTGATTGTAAATTGTATGATGGCGAACGTGACATACTATTTGAAACAATCCACTTTGACAAACTGTGTAAAGGTAAAACAAAGAAAGAGGCATTCAGTCATATCATGCCTACCAGTAATGACAACACAGTTGAAAAACTTTGTGAATTTATCTCCAGTTGCTTCAAAAAGAGAAAAGAAATCTTGAAGGCCTAGATTAGATAGAATGTATTATCTAGTAGTTGTTAAGACATTTACGTTGTTCTCTTTTCCTTCTATACTATGTATCATGTTAATGAGTATGATGTACATGTAACATCATACTCTGATGTATGCATTTAACCCTATCGGAATGAACATGCAAATAAAGATACATTCATTAAATGCGTACAATGATGGTGATGAAGTGTTCTTAATATTTTGTTATTTGTTTATTTGTTTACTATATTTCTCCCTTTCTAGATTTTGATGACTGCGCCCCGCATCCATGTCAAAATGGAGCTATCTGTGTGGACCAGGTGGACTCGTACAGATGTATCTGTCAAGACGGATTCGTTGGGGACTGGTGTGAAGAAAGTACGGCGCTTTAATATCATATTTTTCATTATGTTTACCGAAGGAAAATACATTGTTTTTACTCCGTTTCTTCCTCCTCTTCTGCTCCAAACACTAACCTCTGACCTGACCAATGACATGATTTGTTGGCGTCTGTCACCATGGTGACTGGTGTTGGGTTACATAATGTTGCAATTTCATGGTCTGCTCTACTCCTGTCACCATATACTAGTAGTTCATGTATGTGGATGTGCTTGAGTAAGAATTAACAGAGCAGACCTTGTCCGAAGGTAAATATTATGCATTTGCTTTGCAAATGTTACCTCTCTAGTTAATTAAAAAAAAAAAAACAAATTTTCTTAATATATATATTGTGTGTAGAGCATAACTCGTCAATCTATGAATGACTCAAAATCTTATTGGATAGGTGAGTAGCGGTTGTGAAAAGGAAGGTCAAGTTTAAATATGGTGTAGCTGTCGTGAGTTATAACATCGATCTGTTTTATCCATCGATCTAGATGTTGACGACTGTATTTCTGGCGCATGTCAAAACGACGGCGTGTGTGTCGACGGGATACTCTCCTACTCCTGCGACTGCGCGGCAGGGTATGACGGTGAAGTCTGCGAAACAGGTACAGTGTCCTTTTATCTTTTGTCTTTTAAGTAAGAACATATTCAACGAAAAATTAAAGCAGAGACTCGTAAGTGTGACTACCGTATCCTCATTTACATAATAGTGGCACTCACGAGTCTCAGGCCCTTGCGACAGTTCCCCAAAAATGCGGAACAAATGTGTAACAAATATGTATCAGTGTATTATGTGTATTTATTTTATTATGTGCATTATTATCATTTGTATCATCTGATTATAAACCCTGCATCAATTTAGCACTATAAAGCTGCGATTGCACGGGTGATGTTTGGCCAATGAACCAGTTTTTTTTATATTATTATTATTATTATTATTATTATTATTATTATTATTATTATTATTATTATTATTATTATTATTATTATTATTATTATTATTATTATTATTATTATTATTATTATTATTATCATTATTATTATTATTATTATTCAGAGATCGATGAATGCGAGTCCGACCCTTGCCAGAACGGCGGAACCTGCACGGACGCAGTGGCTATGTTCATCTGTGACTGTGTGTCAGGATATGAAGGCGTTGCTTGTGAAATAAGTACGTACCAAGCATTTCTGATTCCAAAATCTATTTTGGGTACAAATGGCAAAGTATAATCTCAGAGCAACTACATTGGTACCTATTAATAAGCTAACAAGTGGGACCTTAAGTAACTAGGATGGCACCGAGACTAAACAAGTATTAAAAAATGACTAAAAAATATATAGAGATTTCAAGTAAGAATGAAAAGAAGAAAAAATACAAATAAAAGTGTTTTGTATTTCTTTTCTTATAGTTATACATTTTCTCTCCTACTTTTAACGGCCTTATGAAAGAAACCTTGTGAGCTATAGTCGGGTAGTAGTAGTTAGTGTATGGGTGGACTTACTTCTTGTCAGCAATCCAACTTGACCTTAGGGTCAATCTGTCATCACACTCCATCCTGCCATTCTACAGCATTTATATCTTCGAAGACACAAGCAAACAAACAAACACACACACACACACACAAACATAGAGAGAGAGAGAGAGATGACTCAAACAATATTTTCTTAACCAGAGATGATATTGCAAAGAGCACATTCTCATAGCTACTGAGTAAAAAATGTTCATTGTTTTCAGATATAGACGACTGTGCCTCCACCCCATGCCTGAATGGAGCTAACTGCACGGATGGGCTGAATGAGTACTCCTGTACCTGCGCATCAGGATTCGTCGGTACCCACTGTGAAACAAGTAAGTGGCTAATAGTATTGTACTAACTAATCTTCCCTCAAAACATCTAGAAAATTAACTGTCCACTATATTTTATTTTTAAACTGTACATAGCCCAGTATGCGATAAAGGTCGTTATTACATTACATTGAAAAATATGTGGCGTCGTGTGCCGTAAGGAAACGTTCTAACAATGCGTTAGAAACTCTACAAAACGCTGTATCACCCGCCCGGAGCTTGCACATGAGTCTACACGTTCCTCGCTTGACTCAGGTGAAAAATAGTACCTAGCTTAGGTTAGGGACGTCCGTCGAATGGGATGTAAAAATGAGGTCCCGTGCTTGGGGAGAGTCTGACCCTTAGGACCTTCAAGAACCCACCACACCTTTCGAAAAGAGTAGCGGCATGCCCTGGTGTGTGATGGTACAAATTTTATTGTGTAGAAGTTTGAGATATCACGCTTGGCGAACTCCTGTTTCGTATTAGTCACGAACATATTTATTGCATTATCGGATCGGAAGAAGAAGAAAAAAGTCAGTCTGGATTGACATTGTAACGGTATCTTACTACAGTGACCATTACTTGAAATAAACTACTACTGGTGACAATTCTCTAGGGACAGGCATGCTAATGTTTACTGAGTACAGTACTACTGAGTACGGCCTTTTTTTTAAAATCAATTTAGGTAGTAACCCCCCCTCCCCTCTGCTTTTAGGTGGGGGAAGACACTTCCAGCGCCATTGAGGTACGATGGTAGACTTAGCAGGCTAAAAAAAGGAATAGATCAAAACATGCTATGTTTTTTTTCTTTTTATCCAGATGTGGACGACTGTGACCCTGACCCATGTGAAAATGGCGGGACATGCATTGACGGCGTGGACTCGTTCACGTGCGAGTGTGCATCAGGATTCGCTGGGGAAACCTGTGAAGCAAGTAAGTGACATTTATACGAATTAAAAAAATAACGGCTCTCAGTGGCCAATATGTAAATGTTGCCACATTGGCGCACCAAATCCGTAGTGTGTTTTTGGCACACAGAGTAAGACAGATTAGCCTAAGAGGCTCGGTAGGCGTCACTCCACCGGGCAGGTGGGGAAGTCGTGTTAATTGCCTTTCCCAAGGGCACGACGTCGGGCCATGGTGAGTATCGAACCCGGAACCTCTCGGTTCCAGGTCCAATGCTATAACCGTTGCACCAAAGACGCCACACCTTTATACAAATTTGTAGTATCAAAAAATTAACTATTTTTTTCCAACTCAGAAGAAAACATATTGTTTTGCTCAGTTTCTTTGTCTTTTTCTTCTTCCGTGCCCAAAAATAAAGACAACCAAACGTCTGTCACCATGGTAACTTGTGCTGTAGTATTAACACCTTGTGGTGTTGGGTTACATTATGTAGCAGGAAAGAGTTGAATAGCCTGCTCACCACAAATATGAATGTAGTTTGTTTTTTTAAGTTGTGTAAGAATAAACAGTGCAGTAGTTTGTTTGTGGTACACTGGTAAAGGTACACTTTATGCATTTAGTTTGTAAATTTTGCCTATCTAGTTTTTTCTGCTATTCCTGAATATTATATATTATATGTTAAATAGTTTGTTGTAGAGAAGTAAGCAAAATACACGAGATAATTTATCATACCGATGAAAGAGAGTTTGTAATTGACATTTTTCTGCATTTTAACCAGACGTCGACGAATGTGACCCTAGCCCTTGTCAGAATGGGGCAACATGCATTGATGAAGTGGACCGGTACAGGTGTGAATGTGCACCGGGATTCGAAGGCGTCAACTGCGAAGAAGGTTCGTACCTCTTCCCTTTCTCTGTACATAGTCATAGACCAATACCCAAGTTATCTAACTTAGTGCATTTGGCCCATGTAGAGCGTGAATATGCAATAAAGTTCATTGTCATTGTCATTTAACGCTTCCTTACAAGAAGCTATAATAATATCATATCCAACTCAACCAACTGATGAGCACTAGTATGTAGTCCGGATATCTCACACCATATTTACTATATCGGATACTCAAAATGTCTAATCTGTAGTTATATGGAAATATACATTATAACGTAAGCTACTTTCCATATATATATATATATATATTGTATCACCGATATTAAATAATGTAGTGTTAGTCTTGATGCATAGAAATTTTGAGCATTGCTGTAGACATTTAATATGTAGTACCCCTGAAGGCTTTGCAACGCACCTGCTACAACTGTTGTGCAATTAAGTTTGATTTGTTTCGATTTGATTTTTTTTTGTTTAAAATCAAAACGTGAAAAAATAGTGATTTAACAAGCCAAGCAGTGGGTCAAGAAAGACTAAGAAGTTTAAGAAATTGAAATGTAATAGAAAAAAAGGAGGGGATTATAAGTACATAGAAGCTGTTCAAAATGACTGCTAAGTTGACTTCTACATGTTTTTTTTTACCTAGATATCGACGATTGCCTTCTCGGACCTTGTCTGAACGGGGGGAACTGCACTGACGGCGTGCATTCCTACACCTGCGACTGCGTACTTGGATTTGTGGGGGATGACTGTGAAACAAGTAGGTGACTTCTGTACTATCCGCTCTTTTTTGTATAAAAATTATTTTTTCGTTTGTTTGTATGTTTGCTTGCATATTCGGTAGATCGCGTTTTAGGGTTTTGCACAGCAAGCTGCATAAGACTAGGCTGCAAGGTGTGAAGCACTCAAATCGGAAATAACATCTACTCATTTCCTTAAGCATAGTGGGTTCTTAAACGTATAAGTTTCCTTAAACTTACTTCAAAACGAAAACAAGACTTTAGTAAAGGTGTCTGTTAAAATTTTATCATCTTTTTCTTGAGTAAAGAGACGTTTTTTACACGACCAAGTCTTTTATTCAGCCGACGTTTCAGTGACCGTCTGACATCTTCCTCAGGGCAATTCTGGTTCACATTGCATTACAGTACAGGTGTCACTGCTATAAATGCATTCTCAAACGTACAATATTTACATATATACACATATGTGTGGTTACAGGGAATTGTATCCTTAATGCGGTCCCAAATGTACAGAAGTTGGATGCATACACAATTGTGGTCACTTGGTTGCGTGTAAAAAGAGTCTCTTTACTCAGTGACTTACCAACCTTATGAAACTATTCACTGATAATGTTTTTTTTTTATTTGTTTCCTTTTTTTACCCAGATGTTGATGACTGTACCCTTGGCCTATGTCTGAATGGAGGTATATGTATTGACGGTGTGAACTCCTACACTTGTGACTGTGCAGCAGGTTTCGGCGGTCCCCACTGTGAAACAAGTATGTGGCATTTCTCCATTTTTATCATGTTTACCGTAGGAAAACATATTGTTTTTACTTAGTTTCTTCGTCCTCTTCTGTTCCAAACACTAATTTCTGACCTGGCCAATGACATGATGTGAGGATGTCTGTCACCATGGTGACTGGTGTTGGGTTACATAATGTTGCAATTTCATGGTCTGCTCTGCTCCTGTCACCATTATAGTAGTACAATGAAATGTATATTGTATAATGTAGTCTCATGTTAGACGCAGTCTCTAATTCCATTGTATTTTCAGATAATTATACATGTCGTTTGTTCATGCAATTAGCCAATAAACTTTATATTGCAAGTGTGAAACTATTTCTTTGTATGCATTTTAGACATTGACGGATGCGACCCAGACCCCTGTGAAAATGGAGCTACATGTATCGACGGTATAGATACTTATATTTGTTCATGCGCACCAGGATTTGAAGGCGATAATTGTGAAATAGGTAAGTTGCTGTTTCATAGTTTTGACTTGTAATTTTGATGTCAGTTAAAACTGATAAATTGAATTTTAAAAAGGGGAAGAAATATAGTATACCTAAGACTTAAAATTTGAAATGACATAATAGTATACCCTATACAGAATATCCATTTATTCAATGCTATTGTATGGAAATTACTTGGCATTTTACTGTTGTATTTTAATGTTGATTCGTTTATTCGTCATAAGTAACTGTCTGTTTGTTTGTTTGTTTGTTTGTTGCCCAGATACTGACGACTGTATTCTTGGACCTTGCCTGAACGGAGGTGTTTGCGTTGACGGTGTGAATTCGTTCACATGTCAGTGTGCTGTCGGATTTGAGGGAGAATTCTGTCAGATAGGTTGGTCAATTTTGTAGCAAGTAATCTTTCTTTTAACTATATTCAGCATTTAAGAAAATATTCATATTATATCAATGTTACAGGACGGTGTGAACCAATGATAAACAAGGCAATAAGTAACTTTTTTTAAAATGTAGCTATTATGAAGTGTTGTCATGCCTTTGTATGTATATTATTGACCCGTCTAGCCTAATGTCACTATTTTAAAATTCTCCGTTGCAGGCTGTTTCTGATTTAGCTTAAATACGCAGCAGTATATATGGGCCCTAAAGACCAAAAGATAATGTATATTTACCATTTATATTGATAACAAGACTGGCAATGAAAACATACATTGCCATGGCGACAGTGGTTGCTGTTAGGGTTATTGTTCGCATGGCACTGTCATCGTTTCATGATTTTAAGGAAGACCGGGTACGTATTAAGTCTAGACAGATACAGTGGACTCATCCCCAGAGTGTATAGTGAACGAGCCCCGGGGTCACAGAAAGTAAGGCCATCCGGGGCAGAGAGGTCTTCCTAGGGGTTTCCAGGAATATGGGCATACATGTGGGTCAGATCTGATCGTCGCCATGTTCACTCACTGATCATGATGTACAAAGTAATCCATGGCCATACCCGTCAGTATCTCAGGGACCTGATCTCTCCCGAAGTTTCTTTTTCGACTTCATATGATCTTCGTAATAAATCTAATTTACGGCTACCGCTTTGTCTTACAACTAGGTATAAAAAGTCTTTCATTCCATATGCTACGCATCACTGGAATGGTCTTGATGTAGCTGTTCGATCTCTGAATCTTTCATTGTATAAGAAGTACTTAGTAAAGTCAGTACGTTCCCCTTTTTACCGACATTTTAGCATTGGCCCCAGGTACACCTGCGCATTACTCACGCGTCTCCGCATCGGGACCTGTAGTCTTAACCACAGTTTATTCTTAAGAAATTTAGCCCCTATTGCTGCTTGTATCTGCGGGTCTCGTTGTGAGAGTGTCATACATTTTCTTTTACACTGCCCTTTATATAATCAACAAAGAGTTACCCTACTCAGCAATCTCCAGAATGTGGTAGGCTTTGATTTTGATGTTTTCAATATGTCTGAACAATTGTTATGTGATATTTTACTTAGAGGATTACCTGATTTATACTATGATACAAACTGTAATATCTTGCTAACCACTCAAACTTATATTGTTGATACCAAACGGTTTGTACTCGATTGATTTATCATATAGCCTACTAAACATTTCTTTGTACTATTTAACGACCCATCCCAACCATTTGCTGTTCTCTGTTTTTTGTTATGTATTGTAATTGTATTCTATGTTTGGTGGTGAGGCTAAAATTAGCAACAGCTAGAGTACCTCACCACCTTGTCTTGTATTGTCCTTGTTGAATTTGCAAATAAAAAAAAAAATGTGGGTCAGAGACATGCCTGTGGACATGCCATTCCTGTGGACAAAATGCCTGTACCATTCCTAAAATTCTTGCAAACTGCACACGATACTGTACCATTAGGCTCCTCCCTGAGACGTTGCCAAAATTATCTAATTTTTTATTTCCTCTCATCAGATATTGACGACTGTGAGTCTGCTCCATGTCAGAATGGAGGTGTCTGCAGTGACGAGGTGGATTCGTACTCCTGTTTCTGTTTCCCTGGATTTGAAGGAGACGAATGTGAAATCAGTACGTTGATTTTTTTTTTAGAATGCCAGAAATACTGGCTAGTTATAGCTGCACATTGGAAAGATTTGTTAAATGCATACACTGCGACTTCAGGGCAGCAAAACTGGAAGTATTCTGAATAAGGCTATCTACGTGATATTGACACCTATCGGTTTACATTGGCACATCTGAGTCAACATTTTATACTTTGGGCTTTTAAACCTGCAGAAATAAGCCCCAAGATGAGTCCCTTATTTTCTGGGTTGTACGCTTAAAATCAGCCCAGGGCCATTCCAGTAACCATTTTCCACCAGAATTTGGGAATTTTCGCTCCATAAGGATCGATATACGTTGGGATACTGTGGTTCCGACTTAGTATGTAGATAAATGACTAGAATATTGGCTGTAAAAATCGGGTTCCAAGCCCTAAAAACCGCACTGGATACCTTTAATAAATGTGTAGACTAGATGGATATTATGGAGTCAAATATCTCTTTCCAAATGATGACTTAAGTCTGTGTCTAGTTGGGCACTGACTACTGTGACTATAATTAATAATAAATCTAGTAGAAGGACAATCAATTCAATCTCCTTTCTATTGAGATGGAAACTCCTAAAAGACTACCCTAAAGAATCTCATTGTTTAAATGAATGATTTTATTTAGTGCGTCTTTTTTGTCTTTGAAATCATACTTTAACATCATAGATCAATGTACTAAGTTTTCGATTTATAAAGTCAAAGGTGAGGTAGATAAATGCTTGTCATTCAACTTTCTTTCAGGAAAAGGGAGTCTTACAAAATGATAAACTCTATCATAGCAGTAAGAATACACATGATAAATATAAAATATTTAGGATAATAAAGTTAAAATCCTGTCTTTAAAACGACGTTTAACCGTTTGCAAGTCTCTTACATGGCTAATAATAAAAAGGAAAGATACCTCCCTTTATTGATAAATAATTCATCTTTCTGTTCTTTTAATAATAAAAGACACCGATGACTGTGACCCTAATCCATGTGAAAACGGAGGCATCTGTACTGACCGTGTCAACTCCTACACGTGTACCTGTACCGAGGGATACTTTGGACTCAACTGTGAATCATGTACGTAACGTTGATACTAATTTTCTTTCTATTGAGGTCTGATTCTCAGTTCAGAAATACTTATTTTAAAAATGTGTATAAATTGTTGTATGTTTAGTGTTTATGTGGTTTTATGTTTGTGCTATGGGGATAACCTGAAATAGTCATTAATTTATTCATTCATTCATTCATTCATTCATTCATTCATTCAGTCAGTCATTCATTCTCCTTTAAGGTAATGACATTTAAATGTCGGAAATGTGGTATTTAAGTCGGGGCCGCAGACTTTAATCGAAAGGTCATGAATTCAAACTACTAACATACCCTCGTATTTTTATTTTCAATAAAAACTTTTGACTAAGATATTAGGCCATAGAGGATATAAATATATACTAAGCTTTAGAGACGTTCTCTCGAATGGGACGAAATACAGGGGTCCCTTGTTTAACTCTACCTAGACCGGGGGGGGGGGCTTAAAGTGCCCGCGGCAACTTTGATGTCACCTAGCGTCTGAACGGCTAGCCGTAGAACGACCAAACTTGGTGACTTTTCCTAGAATATTGTTGGCAACAATTCTCTATCATTGGAGTAAGATAATAATTTTTTGTGTTGCCATGGCAACGGGTTTCTGACAGGCATTTTTTGCTAAATTTAGTACTTTTTGTTTCAACAATAGAATTTTTGGGTTTTATGTCAAGTTACTCATGGTTTCTAATAATAATAACATCCCATATAATTTTATGTAAACTTTGTCATTAAATATGCATAATTTATGCTAATTTGATGACGTCATTGGCCAAAATCCAAGATGACGGACCATATCATTAGAACAGGTATATACAGGTTATTTTCATTAAAATTTCATCAAAACTTCCATTTCTTTTTCCAAAAAAGGTTTAAATGAAAGTCTTTAGTATGTTTACAATGTATTTTAGGCTTTATCATGAAAAAAAAAATATTTTTGAAAATTCAAGATTGATGATCCAAGATGGCGGATATCTTAAATATGCATGACGTCATTTTATGACGTCACCGGTGTTGCTATGGGCAACATAAGACTTAGTACACCATAATATTCTGTCATAAACACTTTTGGTACAGTTATGTTGAATACCATATAGTTTTCAGGGAAAAACCTATTTAGACGGTTTTGGCCAATAAAATCACATTAATGACGTCATAATGACGTCATATTACGTCATAACGACATAAACATTGTAGATATGATAAATTTTCACTAGTACACCATTCTCTGAAAATTTGGTGGTCATACGACATACCGTTCGCGAGTTCTTAGGGGGGGGTCAAAAGAGCCCCACCCCCCCGGTCCCCCCATGTCAAAAAAAGCCCGGTCTAGGTAGGGTTAAGGAAAGTCGCATCTCCCCACGCTTGGCAAGAAAGGCCCATCCAAAATGAAATGGATTTAATACCTTACAGGCCTGTTTAAAGTTAAGACTTTTGTCCAACACAAAAAATTCTCTCACCTAGAGCTTTCGACCAGTCACTCTGGTCTTCCTCAGTAGACTGACCCGGTGCAGCTTGTCACGTGGCTTCTTTGAAGTGTAACGTCAACACTGGGTCGAAGGTATCTGGTAGACGATGTCGGCCCCCGTCGCGGTTCAAAGAAGGCCTGTCTTATACAGCTTTAACTGGTGCACTACATCTAAAAATGTTGAACATGAAGTATACGGCGATACCTAACAATGGGATTTAGCATTAAATCTATTTTCCATGTTTTTGCACCAGTTTTCGACTTCTGCGATCCCAACCCTTGTCAAAACGAAGGCATATGTACACCTAAAGCGGAGGGTGGGTACAACTGTACCTGTGGATCAGGATTCACTGGGAACTGGTGTGAATCAGGTAGGTGACGCTTAATACTAGTAATTTCTCATGTCTATAAGAAAAAGGCAAATATGTTGCACTGGGAATATTGTTAAGATTGAATAATAGATTATAAAGCACACCCCCCCCCCACAATACATTACCCAGAGATTACACACAATTATCAGACTGTAGTAAAAGAATCATTATTTCATTTTTATTTTTAAAGAGCTTGAAGAAAGTGAAAATGACGATGATAGTGACACCACCACCTCCGAAGGTGAAGACACCAGTGACGTAACGGAGTCTTCTTCTGAAGATAGCACCGAAGGTGACGACACTAGTGACGTGTTGGACTCTTCTTCTGAAGATGGCACCAGAGGCGACGACACTAGTGACGTAACGGAGTCTTCTTCTGAAGATGAGGATAGCAGTGACACATCTGAGTCTGAAGGTGATTGAAATTACAACTTATTTCTCAGCAACAACAATCTGTAGTTTGCCTCTATTAAATGCAAAACCGGTACTAAGCAGCTACGAATCTATCGGTAATGCTAAAAAAAGGGCATCTATTTAAATGTTCTCTACCTCCTGTTAAAACAGGTTTCGATGCCTGCGACCCGAACCCTTGCCAAAACGGAGGAATGTGTTCACCTGATCCACTGGAATTTTACTCATGTACCTGTGAATCAGGATTCACTGGGCACTGGTGTGAATCAGGTAGGTGACACTTAACCCTACCTAGACCGGGGGGGGGGGTCTAAAAGTGCCCGCGGCAACTTTGATGTCACCTAGCGTCTGAACGGCTAGCCGTAGAACGGCCAAACTTGGTGACTTTTCCTACAATATTGTTGGCAACAATTCTCTGTCATTGGAATAAGATAATGATTTTTTGTGTTGCCATGGCAACGGGTTTCTGACAGGCATTTTTTGCTAAATTTAGTACTTTTTGTTTCAACAATAGAATTTTAAGGGTTTTATGTCAAGTTACTCATGGTTTCTAATCTTAATAACATCCCATATAATTTTCCGTAAATTTTATCATTAAATATGCATAATTTATGCTAATTTGATGACGTCATTGGCCAAAATCCAAGATGGCGGACCATATCATTAGAACAGGTATATACAGGTTATTTTCATTAAAATTTCATCAATACTTCCAATTCTTTTTCCAAAAAATGTTTAAATGAAGGTCTTTAGTATGTTTACAATGTATTTTAGGCTTTATCATGAAAAAAAAACTATTTTTGAAAATTCAAGAATGATGATCCAAGATGGCGGATATCTTAAATATGCATGACGTCATTTTATGACGTCACCGGTGTTGCTATGGGCAACATAAGACTTAGTACACCATCATATTCTGTCATAAACACTTTTGGTACAGTTATGTTGAATACCATTTAGTTTCCAGGGAAAAACCTATTTAGACGATTTTGGCCAATAAAATCACATTAATGACGTCATAATGACGTCATATTACGTCATAACGACATAAAAATTGTAGATATGATAAATTTTCACTAGTACAACATTCTCTAAAAATTTGGTGGTCATACGACTTACCGTTCGCGAGTTCTTAGGGGGGGGGTCAAAGAGACCCCCCCCCGGTCCCCCCC